GGGATATACCCAGAAGAACTCAAATCACTCTATAAAAAAGATACCTGCACACGTATGTTTATTGCAGCATTGTTCACAACAGCAAGAACATGGAACCAACCATGCTGCCCATCAAAACAGGACTGGATACAAAAAATGTGGTACATATACACAACGGAATATTATGCAGCCATAAAGAACAAAATCATGAACTTTGCAGAGACCTGGATGGACTTAGAGTCTGTAATACTGAGTGATCTTTCACAGAAACAAAGAACTGAGTATCACATGTTCTCACTCATAAGTGGACCTTGAATAACTATCGTAATACTATAAGAAAAGGATTGACAGTAGCGGGAAACCGCAGGGGTGGAGGGAGGCAGGGAGGTGGGATTGGCAGTAGTTGGAATCTGCCTGGGGAAGAGGGGGCACACCTCATCAACAAGGGTACCTGCATAATGAATATTTGTATACCTAACTCTGAATTGTACTCCAAATCTTGAAAATAAAAAATTTAAAAGTTAAAAAAAATGCATTTATGGAGGTTATTCCATAAAGTTGCTATTGTATAAAATAATTACAATCATGAATTCATTTTGGCCCTTAAGTCACAACATAAATAGATTGTCAGTTGTTTTATTTTGAACTTTCTTTCTGGGAGGCAACTGTGAAGAAACCAGACAGCAATTGTGCATCTTGCATTTTTGCTGAAACTATGTGGCAATACATATGGTAAATCATATCCCTTGCTTTCCTTAATAAGTTATTTCTGGATTAGAGTATGATACTATCTCCAGATCTAGTCATTAGAGGTTTGGGGGCATTCTAAGAACTGTTTTTTGGCCTTATCAATTACTTTTTTACCTATTTAAAGGAAATTCTTCTTTTACTGAGTTTCTACTGTTTTAATTCTGAAACTGAATGTTCTAGCCTGAATGCAAGTTCCTAGTGAACTGAAGATGTCCCCAGGACATTCTGGAGCACTGCGTCTTACCTGTATGGAGCTGCATCCTTGTCCATTTGCATGCAAACCAAGAATGGGTACTGAGAGAACTGCACCGTGGAGATAAACTCCAGGCCTGCTTCTGTTTCTGCACTGATTTCCAGGCCGGCTTTCACAAAAGAGGAGTCCACTGTGATGTCACCAGTTATTACCACAGTCACGCTAAAGATTTGAGGAAAAAATGTGTTTGTATCATATTTAACTGAGTTGGACTTACAGTCATTATAATTTCACAGAGTCTGATCTCACGGACTGATGACTGGAAGGAAACAGTTAAGGGACTGAAAGGTGACCTAAATGTGCTTAGAGTGCTCAGAGTTCTGTTGGGCCTTGTTAATCCCAGAGATTGGGCAGGGAAGGTTTGTCCTTCCCTGAAACCCTCCTCTGTCTCCAATTCTAGATGTGGGAGCGACTGTCCCTTAAGTACTCCACTGTTGTCTTTGGGCATACCAAGGACCAAAGTGAAAATATGCTTGGAACTTGGTCCTTTCAAGAGGTCAGTAATACCGGCCGTTATCTTTCTTTTTTTTTAAGTTGGAGTCTGACTTCTTCGCCCAGGCTGTAGTGTGGTGGCAGGCACGCTCACAACCACCCCAGCGTCTACCTTCTGGGCTCCTGTGATCCTTCTACCTCAGTTTTCCAAGTAGCCAGAACTACAGATGCACACTACCATGCCCGGCTATATTTTATTTTTATTGTAGAGACCAGGCTGGTCACGAACCTCAGGACTTAGGACCTGCATTATCTTAAAATGGAGTCTAAACTCACCAAGAAGACAATTGATGTTTACAGTTTCCTGTTAACTGTCTCTCTGTTGGCTTCTATGTAGCTATTTTAATTCCATTTCATTACTTTCTCCCAAAGGTCTTTAGAAGCACAAGTCTATGGTTGCCAAGATATTTGAAAATAAAAAAATTGTGTTATAAAGAACTGTTCTTACAGTGGAGCATGTATGGTAGGTACTCAGGAGGCATAGATATGGTGGGTTATTTAATAATCATCTAGAGAACTGAATAGAAAGATGGGATGGTCTGGGAAATGAGACTTGGATGATAATGAAGAGAATAAACAACTCCAAAAGAAGACTCACCTCCACTCTAATGGAAGTGTAGACTTTAAATCAAACTATGTGAAATTATTCCCCCAATTAAATCAGAGTCATATGTGCACATTTTTTTGACAGGGATACTAATTTTTGCTGTGTAAATTAAAACCCTTGCTGATATTGACAGTGTAAAAGTAGGTCAAAGGTCATCTTAATTCCTAAATGTCTTAGAGTACCTTCTAATGTTTCATATTCAGCAAAGGCTGAGATATTTTTTCAACTGGGCAAATGAATGAACAAAAGAAAATGAAAGCTAGATTGGTTACAATGTAGATATTGGTAGATTCTTAAGAATACAGTCCTTTTTAAAAGTTAGATTTTTGTTGTTGTTGTTGCTATTGTTGATTTATCTTCACAAATAATTCAATTCAGCTTAATTTGCAGAAACTTCTGTCTAGAAAATACTTAGGAAAGAGTAGAAAGATGAATGATTCAGTGAGAAGCTGTAAATTATACTGCCAGACCCTCTGAGGGCCAGTTTCATTTCTCATTCTTTGGTTTCTTTCAGTAACACTGTTAGTCACCTTTCATATTAAATATGCCACCTTTTGATTGTTCTCAGTTCCTTCATCCATGGCTCAAAATGAATTAAAAATCTGATTTTATCACTCTTATCTCACTTCAGCCTCATCATATTTTTAAATATACAAAAAAAGTAGAAACAAATTGCATTTCCATTTTCCTTTTTTAAACTTTTATAACAAATAGGGTACTAAATATTTTGATGATCACACTGATTCAGAGACATTGTTTTATGTTAAAAAATTAAGACCCTACCATTGATTCTCACAGGTAGATTAGAAAAATTTCAGGAGCTGAGAGCATTTTTTTTAGAAAAACAAATGCTGATGAAAAACTTAAGAACTACTAATGTTTAAGACTTAGATTGTGTACAGAAGCAATCATCTTTTTATTTGTCTTCACTGAAGACAGCAAGAGAGGAAAGGTCTTGAATCCCAACAGGAGGAATAAACAAAAAAGTTTTTTTCAAAGTAAAATTTCTTTACAGCATTGCCAACTACAAAAGTTGAAAATGAACCCCCTCATCAAAGGGGCATGCTGTCTACATATGTCTTTAAAAGCAGGAAGATTCTCAGAGTTGTATTAGGTACTAATCTGCTCATCAGACATTATGGACAGAAAGACTTGCCATGGTCAGTTCCAGCTCTATGATTTAATGATTACAAATATAAAGCATAGATTCTGAAACATCAGAAGGTTAAGTAATTCCCTAAACATATTTCTGCAGTGCTTCGTATAAAGTATTATATATATTATGCTTACCGATTTTTCACTCGGGTTTTAGACTCACGATACCACAAACTGAACTCCATTGCACCAGAAATATCAATAGCTAGACCACCTTGGACCTCTATATTGGCCTTTAGTCCAGATTGCAACTGAAGCTCCTAGAAGAAAAAATTAATATAATAATAGTAATAAAAATGACCACAATTTAGTCATCCCCCCCTTACCAAAAGCACATTCAACCTCCTGCTGTAGATAATGCCAGTTGCGCTGTGTTGATGTTGAAGTCTTTCTCCAGACTTGAAAACATGTTGCCCTAATCTTGATCACCAAAGTAGACTCTGCTAATTTGCTAAATTAGTCAATTAAAATGCTAGAGTAGTGAAGTGCCAATTGTGAAAGGTGTTTTCCTTCCATCATTGCCTAACTTTGGGAGGAGCAATGGTTCTTAAAGTGTGTTTCCATAGGAGCAGCATCAGCATCACCTGGAAACTTGTTTGACATGTGAATTCTCAGGTCCCCTTCATACCTACTAAATTAGAAACTCTGAGGGTAGGGTCTAGCAATCTATGTTTTAACAATCCCTCATGTGATTTTGATGTACCTAAATTTGAGAACCCTTGGACTAGGGCAAATGAAGCCATCCATCAGAAATCTAGCTGTGGTTTTGGGGGGAGGATGGGGAGGGCTTGATCAAGTGAACTCTTCAGGTCCTTCAGTACTTCTCTAATTACATGATGTATCAAATATAGTCAACTACATCCTGCATCCCTTAGTATCCCCGAGGAATTGGTTACAGGGCCACCTTCCCCAACCCCCACGCTTGCAGATACCAAAATCTGAGGGTGCTCACATCCCTTATATAAAATAGTGTGATAATTGCATATAACATACAAGTATCTCTTATATACTTTAATCACCTCAAGATTCTAATACAATGTAGTTGCTGTATACATAATTGTTATACTATATTTCTAAAGTCATATTAATTTTTATTGTTGAATTGTTACATATTGTTTTATTTTTTTAAATATCTTTTATCCAAAGTTGGTTGAATTTGATGTGCAACCAACAGATATGAAGGGCCAACTGAATACAAGCTCCAAGAATTACTCAAGTCAAACTAGGAAAGGAAGACAAGGCAATTTAACTAAGCCTTAATATCCTGCTGTTTGACATTTGAAATGACATTAAATTCTCAGTCAAGTCCAATACAAACTCAGTGGCATTTTTCAGAGAGACAGTAATCATTTACAAACATAACCCAACCTGAACAACCATGCGGTTGTCTGAAACCCATTGTTTTGTACTGTTTGCCTGCATTTAGCCTTTGAGTCTTGCACTTTCCATGTACCTTAGTGGGGTGATGTTGGCTGAAAACTTTTTCTGCTGGATTGAAATCAGATTGCCTGGGGACAGTGTTGGAAGTGATAATGATTCTGGGGAAAAGGGTCAGTACCCTTAATTTTGATATTCCTCCAAAGATTTCAAAGTCCTGGCAAGTGGCAGCACACTAACTTCTTTATGTAATGCCCTACTCAGACCAAACAAGACATGCATCTGCTAACTAGAAATGCCATGATTGCACTTTCTAGAAAGGATCATGTAGATCTCCCTAAATTCTTTCCACTCCCCTCCCAAAAAAGTGTGACAGGAAATCTTAAAAGCCTATTTAATTGCCAGGCATACTTAAAAATTATAATTGTGGCATGACACTACTTGCAGTCTGTAGGACACCCTTAGGTGGAAGCTATGAGAGTCTCAGTGTCATGCTCAAGACACTTTAGGATCTAGCCCTGAGGATACTTAAAGCTACATTCAGGGTAGAACTAAATGCGGTTGCTATAGGATGTAGGGGCTATCTCATGCATCATAACTAATGTGAAAGACACAAACAATCCTGAGAAAACTTAGTCATGCCCAAGTTTTAACCTATGCCTATGAACTACAAGACTATCAGAGTTCTGTCTGATAGTAACCATGATTGCTCCCAAATGAAACCTATTGTGTGCCCTGTGGAGGAATTTTCCCAAGCCTCCTTATAAGGAGAAACCACTATGCCTGAGGAAGTACAAATTACACTTTCTTTCCTTTGAGAAAAGGACTAAACCACATGGTGCAGCAGCTCTAATTTTTGAGGGGTATAAAAAAACAATTTTTGAGGGGCAACTGACAGTTTTTGAGCACCTATTGTGTGCCCAAAGCTCTACATTAGGTATTTCATTTAATCTTTTTACCACTCTTCCATGGTAGGCATTATATCTGAAGATTGAAAAAAAAAATCAGTTCCAGAGGCTACAGCATTGAGCCAGAATAAACACCCAGTCTGTTTCTAGGGTGAAAACTTCCCTACTAATATGTATGGCTATGGCAAACTCATAACTCTCTTTGGTTTCCTCATGTGGAAGAAAGTCTGTTCTGAGAAATATTGCAAAAAAGATAGAGTATGGGCTTATCTCCTTGTTTGACCCAGAGTATGTATTTATTTAAATTCTTGCCCATAAACTAGATGAACAAGATATTTGCATTTGTAGCTAATGTGACCCCTTTGATCTTTTTGGTTCCAGGAATGTTTATTATAGCTCAGACACTGACATTTTGACAACTCATCCTGTTGCCTCCATTTAGGAAAACATATTATTTGCTGGCAGAAGAGGATCCCTTTATTAAACTGACGTCATCAGACATCCTTCTCTGAAAGAGTAATCCAATTTGTCAAAGAGAGAGAGAGAGTGTATGCCTGTGTGTGCACAGAGTAATTCCATCTGCCCTACTGGCTGTGACAGACCACCCACTGCCAACATTTCCTTCAATGTCAGCACTTGACCTAGAGTGGTATGTGCCTCTGAAGCTGGGATGGCATTACTGGAGTGCTCTGCAGAGCCAGGGGGCCTCAAACAGCTTTTTGGTATAATAACATCAGATCTGCAAAACATTCCAACCGGACACACACAGACACTGGGTTATGTTTAATAGCCAGGAACCAATCTTTCTCATAGAATATGCCCTGTCTTAGGTGCCCTGGCTTAATGAACAGAAAAACTATACAAGATAATCTAGATCAGAAATTGGCAAATTATGGCCACCAGGCAAGTCTGACCCACTGACTGTTTTTTGTAAATAAGCTTTTATTGGAACACAGCCATACTCATTTGTTAATACATTGTTGCTGACTGTTTTCACTCTACAGTAACAGAGTTGCATAGCAGCAACAGAGACCATTGGCCTGCAAAGCCTAAAATATTCACTTTCTACCCTTTACAGAACAAGTTTGCTGACTTGGATCTAGACTACTACTTATATTTGCATCAAGTTTTACACTCTGATTTAAATCACTGGAATTGTTAATGGGTAGCTAAGCACAGACAGGTTGTGGTGTACTGTCATCTGTGTCTTAAAATGTGGACTACTTTCTCAGTACTTTTATGCTGCATTTAGAAGACTTTTTTCATTAAAAATACAATGGAATTGTGCAGTGCAAAATTTCAAAATAATTTGGGGACTGTTTTTCCATGTGTGACTTGAGGATTAAGGGACACAAGAGGTACTGTTGGTTGTCCTTATTCTCTCCATTCATATTGACAGAAACTGTTTTGTCCAGGGTGTGCATACATCCAGTGAAAAACAACATTTACCAGCTTCCCTTGCAGCTAGAGGTGGCCATGTGACACACTTTTGGTCAATAACATTCTAGACAGGGCTTCCATTTAAGTTTTTGAAAAAGAGTCAGACTCTGGTCCCTTCCTCTTTCTTCTTCCTTTCTAAAATAAGGAAGCAGTACAGGAAGTAGGGCAGCCATCTGATAATCATAAGGTGATAAGCATGAGGCTAACAGTCATAAATAAGGATGACTGAACTGAAGAAAAGGAGCTTGGATTCTGATGACATCTCTTAGGGTTTCCTTATTAATCCTGGACTACCTACTCTCAAATATTTGTTACACAATGAAAATCAAACTACTTGATTAAGCCACGCTAAGCTGTTTTTTGTTTAGATTAACTATCTACGATTATCCTGAAGTGATATGAGCAATAATCAAGATAGAAAATTAACATTGTTTAGTTCCAACCAAATGAGGTTTTGGAGGAGTTTTAATATAATCTGGTATCAAAGGACTCTCCAAGCTCTTAAAATCCATAATTTCATAACCAGAACCTTGCAAATCAGAATCCTCAAATTACCTGGCAAAGAACAATACAGCTGATAAGATCTTTGGATCATCTGTTTCAAACGCCTCGTTTTACTAGTAAGAAATAGTGGTCTAAAGCCATTAAGTAACTTCTCAAGAGCACAAAGCAAGGAAGTGGTAGAGGCAAAACTCAAACCTAGGCTATTATCCTTGAATTTCTTAAACCACAAAAGTGAACTACCCAAATAAGTCCTAGGGTATGTAACTCTTTATTCTGATCTCCTAATATATCTTCAATATAATAAGTATGAAGTAGAGTGCACAGTGATCACCTCAATTCCCCAATTCATTTTTTAATATTGCTATGCTTAATGGGGCAGGAAATAAATTAACACATTAAAGAAAAAGATTTTAAGCATAAAACATTCAAACTCAAAGGCCATTCAGATTAACCCTCTTCTGCTTCTCAGAAAATCCAGTTAGGCAGAACACTTCCATCCCATAGTATCTTGGTCACTTAAATCTTGTTGCACTGTTGGTCTTTGGTACAGTATTATTAGATTTGGGACCAAAGACAATTGAAAACCCTTTTGAAGAATGAAGTTCAACTGAATGAAAGTAATCCTAGTCGCTTAGAATGAACAAACCTTCCTAAGATTTCATGAACATGAGAATTTAGTCAGAATCCCCATGAAGCACATGACTGGTTTCAGTGGTTGCTTGTGCCTCTACTAGTTTGTCAAAGTCAAAATGATACACTATATGGATGGATCATCATCATCCTTGTCACTACAAATGTCGTCAGTAACTGGTGAAACCATGTAGTTCAGTTCCTGCCTTTAGGATACATATTAACTAAGCCCTACACTCAGGAAAGCCACGTGAGAAGACAATGCTATCTCTGCTCTGCTTATCCTAGGCTTTCTCCACAATTTCTTGTTTCTGTTACCATCAAAATTTCTCTTTGCCTCAAAGTAAAGAGATCTCTTAATCAGTTAATAAATGCAAATAAAAATGAAACATATATACAGTAAAAGGGCAACAATACCAAGAGGACCAAGTGCTTAGAATGTGAGTTCCAAGATGGGCAAAACTTTGTCTTGTATCCTCCAAGTGCCAAGCACATTTAAAATGTGCCTGGCATATTTTACAGACTCGTAAATACTCGCAGAATGAATACATTACCTGAGAGTGATCTATTAGCAGAATAAGCCCTTTCACCACACTGACGGGGTCTCCAGATGCAGACAGCATTTTGGACATCAAATCACTGTATCCATTGAAAAAAGTGACAGGTCTGAGCTGAACATCAAACAGGATGGCTGACATGCCGGCATAGGAGTCAAGGTTCTCCTCCCCCTCGTCGGGAGTGGCTGCAATTAAGGCCTCCAGCCCTTGGGCTTCAATGACCACCTAGGGAAAATTGATAGAACATTTGTGATGCCAGCTCCCTGCCTGTTCTGTAAATCATCTGAACTACAGCTAGTACTTTCAAGGGTTAAAAACTCAAATATCTGCAGCAGCTAGGCAAAAATAAAAATAAAAAACAGACAAAAACTTCTATGACTAAACAAAAGATAAGTTAGTTTTCTCCATTTAATCCTTATAACCACCCTTTGAGGTACATATGATTTTAACCATTTTATAGATGAGGCAAACAATAAGGTTCAAGTTTATCCAGCTAGTAAATAGCAGAGGTGTGACCCAAATCCCTCCAGTCTGCCTACACAGACCATGAGCTTTCCATTATATGATGTCATTCTAGAGATTCTTAGTCTCTCCAGGACCGTCATATATAATGCATCAGCTATCTTGTAAAGCCTCTAAAAGCAGATGGGAGGTGTTGGCACAGTCAACCTAAGGCTGCTACTATAGGGGGACATGGCAATTTCTTATTTATTTTTATATTTTTTCAGCACTTTGTTTTATTTTTATTTTAGAGTTGTGGAGACATGGTACTCTCTAAGCCATGATTCATACCATTTCATGTAAAACTTTTCTCCCTAGCTTAAAAAAAAGTGAATATTATAAAGGGGACCACACACAGGAATCCTACATATTTTCTGTTCTCCATACCCAGCCCCTTAACTCCTGGGTGTTTGGCATTTTCAAGTGCGTATCAGAAGACAGATGGTGATCTCAAAGGACAGAAGGACATTGGATACAGCAATATAATATTGGTAAAAACTCAAGTTTTTATAGTACCGGATCATTTTTAATGCTAAAGTGACTTTATTTACAAGGCTATACTTTGATATGCATAAACACTCAAAAGAAAGTATGTATCGCTCTTCCCCTAAGTGGCCTGAGGTGACTCACCAGGATGGTCTGCTACTCGTTTGACCTAGAGAACCCCACGAAGTCATGCAACTCCTGAGGCTCCAACCAGCATGTTCACTTCAAGAACATCCGAGACACTGCTCAGGCCATCAAGGGTATGCACATACGAAAAACCACCAAGTATCTGAAAGATGTCACCTTACAGAAACAGTATGTGCCATTCCGCTGCTACAATGGTGGAGGTGGAAGGTGTGGCCAGGCCAAACAGTAGGGCTGAACACAGGGTCGGTGGCCCAAAAAGAGTGCTGAATATTTGCTGTACATGCTTAAAAATGCAGAGAGTAATGCTGAGCTTAAGGGCTTAGATGTTGATTCTCTGGTCATTGAGCACATCCAGGTGCATAAAGCCCCTAAGATGCACCATCAGACGTACTGGGCTCATGGTCAGATAAGCCATACATGCATTCCCCCTGCCACATTGAGATGATCCTCACAGAAAAGGAGCAGATTGTTCTTAAGCCAGAGGAGGAGGTTGCACAGAAGAAAAAGATATCCCAGAAGAAACAAAAACTTATGGCACAGGAATAAATTCAGCATGAAATAAGTGCAGATAAAAGTGAAAGAAAAAAAATGTGTGTCATAATTTGAAAGCTTTTATAGATCATCCCTAATTTTAGATAAAACAAAAGGGTTGGAAATCAGTCATCAAAAGCCTGCATGGTATTCTCTTCTCTCCCAGCAGTATAGAAAAAATATAGAATGACTCTTTAGGGAGCCATATTCTATTATGAAGGGTTTTATTATGAGGAATCAATCTCTTCATAGAAACACCCAGAAAAGGAAAACATATTCTAGAATTAAATACTTGGAGTGGGAACTAAGAAATATATCTGTGAATAAAAATAAAATTTTATTTTTAACTGTTTAAGTGAGAAATACTAGCACAATTTCAATTTTGTGAATACGTGTACCTCTGAAAAGACAAATAGATTTATGTCAAGTCCAGAAAATCAAATTATTTAGATTTCAAGTTCATATTTGAAACTTTCTCTGAAACTATAAACCAACAGCCCTTTACAGATGATGGCATCACAGGCAAAATATGAAAGAAATCACCATTAACTTGTACATTCTGAAGTGTTACCAGAATGTTTTATTTTATCTTAGACTGATTTCTTTCCTTTTTATTTTTATTTTTGAGTTAGAGTCTCACTCTGTCACCCACGCTGGAGAACAGTGGCATGATCATGGCTTACTGCAACCTTGACCTCTTGGGCTCGGGTGATCCTTCTGCCTCAGTTTCCTGAGTAGTTGGGACTACAGGTGTGCTACCATGCCTGGATAATTTTTAAAATTTTTTTGAAGAGACAAAGTCTCACTATGCTGCCTAGGCTAGTCTCAAACTCCTGGACTAAAGTGATCCCTCTTCCTCGGCTGATGATTGGGTGCTGGGATTAGAGGTGTGAGCCACTACACCCGGTCAGATTTCTCACATATTTTATTAAGCAAAATCCATGGGCAATGAGTTACCTGGCTCCCATGAAGATCCGCCTTCCCAATGTACTGGACGATGTTTAAGTTACTTCTCCTTAGAATGCCAGAACCAGAGTAAAGAATGTCAAGGCTATAAGTAGAGGCCGAACGGGTACTACCTGATGACAAAACAATAACTGCCATTTAATAACAGTGCCAGTAATGCCACTTTGAGGAGGGGAAGGAAAGGAGAACATTTGGGGGGTTTACATACGGTCTATGTAGCCAGTGTAGGCAGAAGAGGATCCACTCTTGGAGAAACGGTCATAATTGTGAGCGACCATTTCCTTCAGCACACGACGGACCATTTTGCTGCAACATGCAAAAAGAAAAAGCTGCACATTCATTGTAATGGCTGTTTCCCAAGTCAAATTTGGAAAAAACAATTCCTCAGTGGAAAACAGAGGAAGTCAAATTTTCCTCATGCCTCTCCAAGAGTGAGGGAGGTGCCAGCTGGTGTGTCACTGTCAGGATTAGGTTTAGCCTCTTAATTGCTCAGATATCTGAAATTTAATTTGGTATCACCAGACTGACAAGAGGACACACCTCAGGAATGGAAAACACATATTCTTTGAATCATCAAGTTTCTATTGTTAAGTAGTACAAAAATTTAAGGAATACTGTACCAAACTAGGGAGGTTGCACAATGTTTCTTTAAATGTTTTTCTATACTCTCTAATGTTCTCTCTGGCTAATGATACATCACAGTAAATTTCCAAGATTTCTTCTCTATGTGTAGTTTTTGATTATAGAAACAGCTTAATAAACCTTAGAAACTTAATAAAGCTTAAGAATCACTGTCTCCTCTGAAGTAAATCTTAATCCTTACCCCATGCCTCTATCCTGTCTTGGTAATCAGTGGTGAGATCTTTCCATTTCTGATTACATAACACTAATCATATCAGTAATAATAAAATGATGATAACACAGCAAAACATCAAAATAATCAATGAAAGAAATTTGGAACCTAAGTTGGAGGTAGAAAATTACTGAGAGGAAGAAATGGTAGCCTTAGAGGTTATTTCTCCAATATATCAGTAGGTTGTAAGATTTTAGCCAAGAGTAGAAATGATGAGGAGAGTCATGATAGCTGTATGCAAATACTCAAAGCACCCCCATGAGCATGAAGGATTAGACATGTGCCACTTTGTTCCTGGGATTAAAAACAGCCAATAGGAAAATTTCAGTTTGTACAAGGACTCAATGGTGAGTCTAAACAATGACACAAGTTCCTTCAAAGGTGAACCTCCTGCCACCAAGAGGGGCAAAGTCTGGACACCACTTGCCAGGAGCCTAGACTCTACACTGAAGAGATGCTGAACAAGGGAGCCTTTAGTGTTCCCACTCTAAAGTTTTTGTTTCTGAGACTCTAGCCCGTAATGTTGGTGATGGCCTTCTCACACTCCCTAGGCTGCTTTCTTCCCCACTGTCTCTTCTTCCTCTGTTTTCTGAATTGCTAAGTCCACAAGACAGAGGCAGCAAGTACACCCAGGATCTCCTCTACAGAGTTTCATAAAAGCAAACAAAGAAATAGAAGCAGTCAAATCCATTCAACTACAAATATGTGGCCGCAGAGGGCCTTGGCGTCTTTTCTTGCTCACTCTCCTGCTCCCTTCCTCTTTCCTGTGTGTCTTGCTCTTTTCTCAGTTCCTCTCACTCCTCTCTTTCTTATTTCTTCAGTGTTCTTAGTCCTTCTTTCTCTTTCTTTCAAACTTTTACTGCCCTCTTTCTCCACTTTTGTTCTCTTTATTTTCCACCTTCCCCATCTCTGTTTTCCTTTTCTACAGGGAATGCTCAAATCTGACTGATCTTTCCTGGAAGTAGTATTCTGCATGTAACTCAGGGAAAATGAAAATTCCTTCTCTGACCCCCTGATTCCAAGTAGAAGATGCCCTGGAGGAGCCACTTGGAAGAGTAGCATCAGTCAATTTGAAAGGAGAGACTTGGGAACTGCAAGGAAGTTAATCCAGCAGGAGGGACTGTGAGCAATGAAGTCTATTGATTGCATTCTTCAGACCTTGAATCATCCTAAAATGTGGACCTCGCCTAAAGTTTTAAAATTAATGGCAATTAATTAATCTGTTTGACCCATTCTAAATGAGGCTTCAGAGGTCCCTAACATGTGAAACATTATGATAAAAGAACATCTGGTGAGAACTTACATTGTTTTGCTGTGTTACCTATAAAAATAGTCCTGCTAAAAATGTAGTTCAAGTTTAAAACATTTACCAGACTGAACAGGACATTCAGTGTCTAAATCATACCTAGAGTTCCAAATCATAGTGCCAGAGTGAGGTTGTTTTATCTGACCCACTAAATAGCCTTCTTCTGGGAAATCTGGTACTCTTTGATTTTATGCAACATAACCCAGCATAATGATCACATCCGTTATTATTAGCTACATGTGTACCACATCAATATACAAATCAGCTTGAATAAGCAGAGAGACATGTGCAATGTACTATACCTCGCAGGCATCTCAAAACGTAGGATGTCTTGAACAATGGCAAGCATATACTTATTCATTTCTTTGGGAAGTTCCCCAATAGAAAGCAGGATGTTTTTGACTTCCATGTAGGTTGGATTGCTATTTAAAATGATAGCAGCTGCAGCAGTGCGCACGGTCTTTTCATGAACTTGACGATTCTGGTGGTATATCCTGTTCAAGGTCTTCTTCACCTGTTCATAAGATGTTCAAATGTAGTGCAAATATAGATTTTTTAAAAGTGATACTGTAGCAGAAATAGTGAGTGTTCATAAAAATATACATGTGCTATTTTAATTCCTAGATACCTTTGCAATTAGGTTGGGGTCATATGACTAGTCATGGCTGATAAACCATGGACAGAATCAAAGTGGGTCACTTCTAGGCTGAGGCAGTGAGGAGCTTTTTCCATTTCTTTCTTCCATGACTGTAGTGAACTTAGGGCCACATACTATCTTACCCACATCAGGCAATAAGCTTTTGATAAACTGCTGAGGTTTTAAGGTATTTATTATTGCAGCCTGCCTGGTGCTACATATTATAGAATATGATGATACTGCGTGGCAATGCAGCTCTGGGGAGAAATGGCTATATGGAATGATATTTCCTTACAATGACTGGCCTCAGAATATTCCATTCTCTTTATAAAAAACAAACAACCTTTTTATTTTGAGTTGGAGTCTCACTTGGTCACCCAGGCTGAAGTGCAGTGGCATGATCACGGCTTTCAAGTAGCAGGGACTATAGGTAACACCACTATGCCTGGCTAATTTTTTGACTTATTGTAGACATGAGGTCTTACCATGTTGCCAGGTTGGTCTTGAAATCCTGGACTAAGGCAATCCTCTCTCTTTGGCCTCCCAAAGTGCTGAGATTACAGGCATGAGCCACCATACCCAGCCCCTCCCCTTTAAAAAAAATTAATAGACTTTTTAAAAGAGTAGTTTTAGGTTCACAGCAAAATTGGGTGTCAAGTACAAAGAATTCTTATATACCACCTACCCCTACACACGCACTCTCTCTCTCCTTCAATCACCATTCCAGCACCACAGTTACATTCCATAAACTTACCTGGCATATAATTATTACCCAAGTCCATAGGTTACATTAAGGCCTTTTTTTTTTTTTTTAATTTTTCTGAGTAAGAGCCTCACTCTGTCATCCAGACTGGAGTGTAGCCTCAGGATCACAGCACACTGCAGCCTCGGCTTCCTGGCCTCAAGCAATCCTCCAGCCATAGCATCCTGAGTAGTGGGGACTAGAGGCATGTGCCACCTAAAAAAATGTCAGCTAATTTTTTAATATTTTTGTAGAGATGAGGTCTTGCTATGTTGCCTATGCTGGTCTCAAACTGGTCCAGTGATCCTGCCTTGGTCTCCTAAGGTGCTGGGATTACAGGAATGAGCCACATACCCAGCCTATTTTTTAATTTTTAGAGACAGAGTTGAGCTCTGTCGCTCAGGCTAGAGAGCAGTGGAGTGATCATAGCTCACTGCAGCCTCAAATTCCTAGGCTCAAGCGATCCTCCCACCTTAGCCTCCCAAGAAGAAGGGAATACAGGTGCATGCCACCACTCCAGCTAATTAAAAATTTAAAAATTTTTTTTGGTAGAGATGAGGTCTCTCTATGTTGCCCAAGCTGGAAGTTCTTTTTAAAGCTAAACATTAACCTCAAAGAATTTATGCCAAAATAATTGCACTCTGTGGCTACAAGTAATTTCATCAGTAGCATTGCCTAACTATATGCAACGTGTGGAGATCCATACATTGGCATATAAATATTGCCAATTCCCTCTGCCTTTTTCTACATCCCTCAAATCTTGGCCTTGCTCTTGGGTATGTATAAGTTAAATAATTTGTCCAAGAACAAACAACTAAGAAAGGACAGAACCAGAATTTGTACATAGGTCTGTCTTTCTCAACAGCCTGTATCTCTGATTGTAACGTTTGCAGTCACCAACTTCAATACAAAATTGGTGGGAAAGTGCTTAATGACAAACTTGAAACATCTTTCTCAACAGTTTCCTTTGAGGTTTACCAACAGTCTCTGCCTTAACAAAAGTTTAATTTAAATAGCTTCCTGAAAATGTAGTTGTAGGAACAAACAAGGAAGTATTAAAGGATATGTTAAAATTTAAAAAATTTTAACAACATCTTAAAACTTTAAAGATGTTTCCAAAAAGAATTTGTTTCTTAAAATAAGAAACTATGCTTCAGGTTATAGGACATTATTTATTCAAAATGGGAAGCTGTTTTAGAATAGCTTTAAGTGCAATTTAGAAGTTATCTCTGGCTGATATGGTGGCTCAAGCCTGTAATCCCAACACTTTGGGAGGCCGAGGCGAGAGGATTGCCTGAGCCCACAGGTTTGACACCAGTCTGGGCAACATGGTGAGAACTTGTCTCTATAGCAAATAAAAAAAGTAACTGGGCAAGGTAGCATGTGCCTGTAATTACAGCTACATGGAAGGCTGATGTGGAAGATTGCTTGAGCCCAGCAGATCAATGCTTGGGTGGCCATGAGCATGTCACTGCACTACAGTCTGGGTGATGGAGTGAGACTCCAGCTCCAGAAAAAAAAAGAAAGAAATTATCTCTAAGCAGAAGAGAGACTCCTTAGGGGAAAAAATAGAGTGACTTGAGAGGAATTTGCATTTGACTTATGTGCAGATGTGCTTTTTTTCTCCTGTTAATGTTGCAAATATTCCTTGAGATATTACCTCATCAGTGATGAAAGGGACATCGTATCTCTGGAGAGCAGTGGTAGCAAGATGGCTGACAGGCCCTTCTCCTGCTTCTGCATACTTCAGAAGCAGGGGGATGCCTTCTGGAAGCAGGGCATTCTTCAGAGCCAGCAGATACATCATGGTGTCCTCCTTTTTCTCTGCTTTTTCAAGTCCTCCCAGGATTAACTTCTTGGCTTCAACTACTGCCTAAAAAAATCACATACCTTAGATGTATACATGTTCATACATAAAACAAGACTTGGGCAAGACTGGCTTTATTTTTGGGTCCCAGAATACATCCTAAAATTTTAGAAAGTTTTGTATCAGTTGCCTAATTGAGGCACACAATGAAAGAAAAGCAAATAAGTAAAGCTTGATGTTGTGTGTGTGTGTTTTAATATACAAATAACAACACATTCCTAAATAGCAATGTGTATGATTAATAATGAGCATATTTATTTGAGAACACATTCTGAATGTATAAAGTCACTTTTTTGATTCCCTTGGATTGATTATTAAAAAGACTGTCCATTCACTGAATTTCTAAAGCACCATAATTGGCGGCTTAGAGTTGCCGTGTACCTTTCCTTAATTAACAACTTGGGTGAAATCTGTCAGAACCCAGCCAAAAGATCTGGCTCTAAATATTCTAAAAGTGCATATTTTCACTTGATTCCAAATTTAAATAATGTGCCACATAATTCAAAATTCAAAAAATGTTTCTTAAATGCCTTCTCTGTGGTAGGTATTTGCTATGTACTTCTCAAATATGTTTTGTAATCAAAAAAAAAAAAAAACTTTGTTCCCCAGTCTGAGAAAAAGAAATTGAGTACAAGTTAATAGTTTTATTTTTTAAAAAAATTAGAAATAGGAACATTTGGGTTCTGATCTTATCCTCGCCACTACATTTTTTCCTATTATTTATTTATTTATTAACTTTTCATTATTTTATTTCAATATCTTTAGGGGCTCAAGTAGTTTTTGGTTGCATGGATTAATTATGTAGTAATGAAGTCTGGGATTTTTGTCACTATATATGAAGGGGAACCCCCTAAAGTGGAATTTATTTATAAAAATTGTATACTAATATGTTTAAACTTCAGTCACCTTCAAAGTACTCTCCATTTGATGCAATACACCTATTGAGAAGCTTTTTCCACTACTCAAAACGGTTTTTGAACTTGTCAGTTTGGATGCCTTTTAGTACTTCTGCTGTTTTTTTGTCTCACCTCTTCCACATGGGCAAAACGTTTCCCTTTTTTCATCGGGAAACAAACAACAAAAAAGTTGCGTGGGGAGAGATCCAGTAAATAGGAAGGGTAGGGCATGGGGGTCATGCCATTTGTGGACAGGTGGTGTGGGCAGGTGCGTTGTCATGGTGGAAGAACCACTCACCTGTTTGCCACAACTCGGGATGTTTCTTCTGCAAATTGTGATGTAACCTTCTTAAAACTTCAAGATAAAAACTATGGTTGACGATCTGATTTGAAGGAATAAATTCTGAGTGTACTACACGGTATCCACTCCCAAAAAAATAAGATAACTCAGGATTTTTTGGGAGTCCCCCAGTATGTGTTTTAGAAGCTTCAAGATCTAATTAATCCACAGGATTTGTGAACTCTTGAAATTGCTATACATCCCCCAACATACACAAAACACATACATGAGAAGGAAAGACTGGGGGAGAAGTATTATAAAAGATCCCCAGTAGAAGAAAAGATACTGAAGTTTACATGTAATCACAGGAGTGACATTTCCCAATCATCAGATTGGCAAAAAAATTCAAAAGTTTGATAACATACTTTGTTGGTGAATGGGAAAATAGTCATTCTCATAAAGTGCCAATGAAAGCACAGAATGATACAATTCTTATGGAAGATAATTGGACAAAAACTAACAAAACTGTAGTTTGACCAAGAAACTCTAGTCCTGAAACTACATCTCAACAATAAGAAAAAAAAAAGTGCCTAAGATTATTCATTTCAGCAGTATTTGTGGTAGTAAAACAGTAAAAACCACCCACATGAGTTTATGTAGGAGACGTTGAATAAAATGTAGTACACAGACAACAGAGTAGTAGGTAGTGGTAGAAAGGAGTGAGAACGATCTCTGTGAACCATTATGGAGTGATTTCCAGGATATATTGTTTTGTTTTGCTTTTTCTTTTGAGTTAGAGTCACCAAGATCACTCTGTCATCAAGGCTGGGGTGCAGTGGTCTTGACCTGTTAGGCTCAGGCAATTCTTCTGCCTCAGCCTTCCAAGTAGCCATAGGAGCATGCCACCACATCCAGCTAGTTTCTTTATTGTAAAGATGAGGTCTTGCCAAGTTGCTCAGACTGATCTTGAACCCTTGAGCTCAGGCAATCCTTTCACCTCTCTCTCCCACAGTGCTTTACAGGCATGAGTCACCATGCCCAGTTCAAGATATATTGTTAAGTAGAAAATGTAAGATACACAGAGTATATATTGAATGATATATTGTGTGCAAGAAAAAAGAAATAAGAATGTGTATGTGTGTGTGAATATCTGCTTACTGTTGCAAAAATAAATGCAGGGGAAAAAAACCCAAAACTGATGATATTGTAACCTACAGGAGGTAGATGAGAATGGCAGGAAGGGATAGGAAAGGGAATGAGACCTCTGTGAATACTTTTAAAATATAGTTTTGACTTTTGAGCCATGTTACTATTTTACATAGTCAAGAAATAATATTAAAGCAACAGGATGGAAAATTAATAAAAAAATTTTTTTTTTTTTTTTGAGTTGGAGTCTCACTTGGTTGCCCAGACTGGAGTGCAGTGGCCGCTCCCGGCCACGGCAGCCTCGCCTGCTGGGCTCCGGCAATCCTTCCGCCTCAGCCTTCTGAGTAGCCAGAATTACAGGCGCGTGCTACCACGCCCAGTTGATTTTTTTTTTTTTTGATTTATTGTAGAGATGAGTTCTCGCTGTCCAGGCGGGTCTCGAACCCTCAGGCTCAGGCAGTCCACTCACCTCAGCCTCCCAAAGGCGCACGATTACAGGCTGAGCCACCGAGCCCGGCGAAAATTAATAAAATTTAACTAAAACAGAAACAGCCTAAAGGTTTATAAATTGATAATATAACTAAACATAAGAGAACCCAAAAAAATGAATTCAAGTAACTTTTGAATATAGATCTTTTCTTTTTCTTTTTCCTTTTTTGAGTTGGGGTTTTACTGTATCACCCAGGCTGGAGAGCAGTGGCATGATCTCAGCTCACCACAGTCTTGACCTTCTGGACTCAGGCGATCCTTCTACCTCAGCCTCCTGAGTAGTTGGGACTACAGGTGTGCACCATCACACCTGACTAATTTTCTTATTTTTGTATAGACAAGGTCTTGCTATGTTGCCTAGGCTGGTCTGAAACTCCTGAACTGAAGCAATCTTCTTGCCTCGGCCTCCCAAAGTGCTAGGGTTACAAGTGTGAGCCACCATGCCTGGCCTTGAGCAGAGAACTCTCACCGCATTTCTTCAGTGAAATATACTCTAAGGACAAAAAGAACTATAATGAAGTCTTAAACTTTTCTTAGTCAGTTTTTGTGGTGATAACAGTGTAGCAGTTTCAAAACTATTTTGTGTGTGTTTTAGGATAGCGGATGTATCGATATATTGATGTTCTTGAAAACCACAGTTCTTACTGTGGGAAAGGAATAAAATAACTATGAAAATCGGAAAGAAGAGAAAGAACCCTGTATCACTGAATTAGAATTAAAGATAGCACTATGAACTTTCAATTTAATAAATATATGTATTTTGCTCATTTTAAGAGCCTAGATGCAATGTAATAAGAAATGGGAGTGTTTAGGGGTAAAATGCCAGATTCTGCAATTCACTCTCAAATGGTTCAACTAAAACCCCCAAAACAAAAAACAGAAAGAAATGACACATATAGGATGATATGTTAAAAACTAGTGACTCGCTGGGCATGGTGGCTCACGCCTATAATCCCAGCACTTTGGGAGGCTGAGGTGAGAGGATTGCCTGAGCCCGCTGGTAGATCAGCCTGGGCAACTTGACAAGACCTCATCTCTACAATAAATCAAAAAATTAGCCAGGTGTGGTGGCATGTGCCTATAATTCCAGCTACTTGGAAGGCTAAGGCAGAAGGATTGCCTGAGCCCAGCAGACAGTGGCAGTGGTGGCTGTGAGCATACCACTGCACTCCAGCCTGGGTGATAGAGTAAGACTCCAGCTCAAACAAACAAACAAACAAAAAACTGGCGACTCTAGATAAAACATATGCAAATGTTCATGGAATTATACTAGTCTTACAACTTTTCTGCAGGTTCGAATTATTTTCAAATACAAATTCAGGGGGAAAAATTAGGACATGGAGAGATGAAAATGTAAATAAAAAATATAGAGAAAAGAAATATGAGACCTACTATTGGTGGTGACCTTGTCTAGCTACCATGCTGCCATTCAGACTGTCACAGAGCAGCAGCCTTCATGTTAGTAAATGCCATACAACTACAGAGAATGGCAGGTACCTTTAGGGCAGTATAATTATAGTGTGCCAGTAGATGTCTTAAATTTGTACTTAGAATAGATCATTTTCTTTCTATTCATATGTCTCTCATTTGGGCAAAAGATAGATGAGTGTTCCACAGCAGAAAATTCAAAAGAAAATGTGAACATTACTGTAGTCCATTGGTAGCCAAATCTCATCACTCTCAGAGATGACAAAAAAAATTGCTAAAAAATATTAACAAATAGCCAGACTCAGTGGCTCAGCCTGTAATCCCGCGCCTTGGGAGACTGAGGTGAGTGAATTGCCTGAGCCCACGTGTTCGAGTTGCCTGGGCAACTTGGCGAGACCTCATCTCTACAATAAATCAAAAAATTAGCAGGTCGTGGTAGTGCACGCCTGTAGTTCCAGCTACTTGGAAGGCTGAGGCGGAAGGATCGCCAGAGCCCAGCAGGTCGAGGCTGTGGTGGCTGGGAGCGGCCACTGCACTCCAGTCTGGGAGAAGGAGTGAGACACCAACTCAAAAAAAAAAAAAATTAACAAATAAATGACAATGATGGCGAGTAGTTTGCAGCTACCTACAGGGTAATTTCAAAGATGTGATGAGAACAGGCCATCCCATTATCAGAACTTTAAATTTAAACCCTGTGTTCTGTTTTCTTATGCTTTCCCAGGGTAATCCTATTCTCTTCCAAGGTTTCAGCCACTCTTTACTTCTGACCCTAACTTCTCTCCTGAGATGTATATGAATGCAGCCAGCTGCCTGTCAAACAATTCAACCTAGTGGCCCAAAGGATTTCAAACTTAACATGAACAACACAAATTATAGCTCTACCCTCCTCCCACCCTAAATCAGGCTGTGTAAACCTTACTTAAGTGGTCAACATCACCATAAAACTAGCATCCTAACCTGGATGCATTAGCTTTGCCTAGATTCTTACATCTTTCTCATTTCCCACATTTCATCATTCTAAATAAAATGACTCTTGAATCTGTGTCTTTCTCTCACCCCTTTCCCCCTACATTAATGCAGACCTTTTACTAGTTCTTGCCTAGGTTATTGCAAACGCTTCCAGTCAGATCTTACTGACTCTAATCCAGTCAACACTCAGCCCATGCACTATCTTGCTTCTTCCCAAATAAAACATCTGAGTGTGTCATTTACCTGCCTAGAAACTATATTGGTCTCCCTTCTTTTCACAGAATGAAGGCCAGACTTCTTAGCTTGTCACTAATAAAGATCCAGCTCATCACTCCTCTCTCTTCCTTTCCTTCCTGTATCTTCACCCCCATCTGTCCCCAACAAACATACAAATTTTGTGGTTCAGCCCCAGGGAATTTCACTGTTCCGAAGCACACCAGGCCCATTTTGATGTTGGGACTTTTTGTACATTGTCTTATTTCTCCTAGAAGGTCCTTTACTCCATACAATGATCTCTTCACCTAAAAAGCTCTTCTAGACTAAGCTCAAATGTTATTTTGATGAAAGCTTTGCCAAGCACCCCCGAACAGAAAAAGTTGCTGCATTTTCTAAATTCTCAGAGCACTTTTTGTTTATATTTCAATATTATTTATCTATTTATATTTGATAAGCAGATTAGGAGTTCCTTTAGGTTAGTAGAATATATATATTTTTTACTTTATTTTATTGTAAAGATAAGAGGTACAAGTCAGGATTAGATATATAAGGAATGTATATGCAGGTAAAATTTGGACCTCCAAATGGTCCCCACTTCCCCTGGTTTAGGACGAGATGCCCTTTGTGTTGTTACAGGCTCCCCCTTTCTTCCCTCCCCAGCAGTGCCCCACTACTGCTGATTGCTTTCTTGTGTTATTGTGATTAATGTTCAGGCCCACTTATGAGTAAGAACATGTGGTATTTGGTTCTTTGTTTCTGTGATAGACCACTAAGAATGATTGTTTCCAACTCCATTCAATTTGTTGCAAAGTCCATAATTTTGCCCTTCTTTACAGCTGCATAATACTCCATCATATATATGTACCACATTTTCTTTATCCAGTCTACTTTTGATGGACAGTAGGGTTGGTTTCATGTTTTTGCTATTGTGAATAGAGTGGCGATAAACGCGTGTGCAGGTGTCTTTATTGAGGAAAGATTTATGTTCCTCCGCTTATATTCCCTGGAGGGGGATTGCTGGATAGTATTGAAGGTCGATTTCTAGTTCCTTTAGATATTGCCACACTAGAATAGTAGAATATTTTATGCACCTTTATCCTAAAGGATTAGCATCATGCCTAGCACAAGGTAGATGCTAATTAAATCCTACTGAATGGATCTCTTTATATGTAGGGTTTATCTTCAGCCAAGATACTTAATACACAAATTGCTGAGATAAATCAGCTATTCAAATAATTACAGAAGTTGAAAAATATAAGAAGACATAGTTCTCTTCTGTAAAAGTAATACTAAATTTGATTTCTTCTGGAACTTACTAAGCTGATACTCAACCTTGCCAATGCCACTATGTTTTAGTAATCTTTTTCATACTTGAATATGCTTTCTAGTTTTGGCTTACCTCTTTTAAAATTATTTAGTTTCAAGAACATTTGCCCTGTTGTTTTTAATAACAAGCACTTTGTAGGTAAAATAACACAGTGATATCTTTCTGAGATAAGGAAAAAAGCTGATTAGATGCTGGCTGTATAACAAACATAAATGGAAGAAAAGGCTATGTTTTTACATATTTAGCATCTTTAATCTATCTGCATTATAGAAAAATGGACTTGTCAGATATTAATCTATTTGAATTTTCCATATTTAGTTATGCTTACAAAGTGAATGTTTTTGTTTTTTTTCTTTTTAATAACAAAGATGTGAAAACTGATAGTCCACTCAGACAAGTGGAAAAGTTTTGAGCAAATGAAATTACAAATAAAATATAAAGTTCTAAGTGACTAGGAGTAACTAAATTCCCTCTATCAGAACAGAAAACTGCAAACTGCACTCATCATAGACAAAAAGTTCTGCTCTAGGAGGTAGCCTCAATACCTAATCTTTTTCTGAAAACAAAAGAACTATACCATACGTATCATTTGAAACTGAGTACATAGTGGGTAGTCAATAAATGTATATCGGTAGGGGAGGTTAATGTACTATTCACTTTTTAGCAAGTATTTGTTGAGCATTATTTATGTACCAGTCACCATTATAAGCTACTGATGTTGAACAAAACCAAGATCTATTTTTGCATGGAACTTTCATTCTAGTGGAACCAAAATAAACAATAGACAAAATAAACAACTGAACTGCAAAATATGTGAGATGAAAAAATTGCTATGCAAATAGAGAAAGCAGACTAAGGTAAGGGGGGATTAGGAGTTCTAGTACTGGGCAGCCAGGTGAGTGTCAAATAGAATGGTGTAGAACAATACACTACATGAGACTGGATTTGCACTTACTTTGAGTTTGCAGCCTTCGTTCTGACATAATTTCTTGACAAGGGCCCCAATGATGATCATAACAGTTTCTCTGATGTCATTGCTTCCAAAGGAACCTTTGAACTTACTCTATAAGCCAAACAGGGATAAAATAGGTTACCAAGGCATTTATACATTTCTGAGGAACACTTTTAGTTGACGAAGAAAAGTAACCAATACCTACTGGAAAAAATGTTTTTTATGTTTCTACATTGCAAACTCAGAATTTTGCTTTTGAGACACATAAATTGTCTCTCTAGCTTTGAAGAGCTAATCCTCTTTTCAGGAATGTTTAACCCAGGATGGGGGTAGGGGTGGCTATCAATCTCTGGGGATCTATGAATTGAATTCACTGGATTGCATTCATTGGATTCAGCAGACAAAAAAGAGTTTGCAGAATTTTATGTATGGGTGAAGAGGGGCTTCATTACTTTTATCAGATTCTTAACGGGCTTATTTTCCAAAAAGAGTATGAATTATTCCACTATATCATAGGTAGATAAATGCACTTAAAAAAGAAAATCTTGAACCCAAGAGAAGTCTAGTTTTTGTTTCCAATATGAAATTTTTAATAGAAGAATTGTATCTTTTCAATATAAGTGTATTTAATACAATGAAGATTTTTGAAGTCAAAACAAATTTTTAAAAATTGATTATTGAAGCATAACAGACTTCTCCTTTCTGAAATTTTGTCCTATGCTACATAATATGATAAGTGAATACAATCCTCAAATTTCCCTATAGTATATACTATTTAGTGAAACTGCAAAAGAGATACTGAGTGAGATCATTTATTTTACAGTTAATAATTAGTGGATAGATGAAAACAGTCCAATAGAATTTGCATATACTCAAAAGTCTCTAGTTTACAGTCAATATTCCGATTTAAGCAAGAGATTGTTTAACTGGTGAGAGCCTTTATTTTCCCAATCTCCATCTGACTTACAATGAGGGCTTTCAGGAGTTCTTCATTGGGATGAGAGGCAAATCCGCAGGCATAGAGAAACCTCTCCTGGAGTATGACGCTACTGTCACTTTTGAAATCCAAGAAGTTCAAAATGGCTTCTAATGAATCTGGGGTCTGAGCAGAGGTGACAGCATCCACCAACTGAGGTCTATTAAAAGAGGCATAATCATGGATATCAATATTTAGGGTGCTTTTAGCTCTACCATTCACAAACTCCCCACTGGTTTGCATTTCCTAAAGAAGTGATTTTTTTAAAAAATTTGAACAAAATAAAAATGATTAAGACTTTCTTTAAAAGACCCTCCCATTTTAATTTGAACTTCTCCTTTAATTCCCTCCTCTCTCACACAAGCAATGCATACTCAGACTATGCAGACTATGTTACTATATTAACCTAAGCCAAATATAATTTGGAGATTTGTGAATAAAAAATATATAATTCAATTGTAATTTAGATTTCAATTTATTCCCATATGAGCAATACATTAAAGCTATGGTTCTCAAAATGTATTCTCTTTCTCTAGTTAACTATGTAAAGATACATATTTTGCAAATGCCTAATTTAACCAAAAGCAGTATTATTTGATGAAAGGCTGAGATATCCTTTTAACTTTAATGTACATCCAAGGGAAAGTATTTTCTCTTTAAAAAAAAATCATGGTATACTTCTATGTTCAGTCACAAAGAATATGTGTGAGCAGAATAGGACTCTTACAGGAAAATTCTAGTTACATATTTTAGTCATTAAAATTTTGGGAGGAATCATAAATGACCACGAACAGCCAAAACAATCCTCAGCAAAAGAAACAAAGTGGGAGGTATCACATTTCCAGACTTTAAACTACATTATATTAAAAAAAAATTTTTTTTAATTGTAAAGATGTGGGGTAAAATTCAGGGTTAGGTATACAAATGTTCATTATCCATGTACTCTTGTTGATGAGGAGTGCTCCCTGCCACCCCCCACAGATTCCCACTACTGACAATCCCACTCTCGCCCTCCCCTGGCAGTTTCCCACTACTCAGACTTTAAACTTTATTATAAGGCTACAACAATAAAAACCGCCTGTTATTGGTATAAGAACAGGCATATAGACCAATGGAACAGGATAGAGAATCTGGAAGCAAAACCTCAATTTCTCAACCAACTCATTTTCAACAAAACCTCCTCTAACAACCACTAGGAAGAGGAAATCTTATCCAGTGAATGGTGCTGGGAAAACTGACTGACCACATGCAAAAGATTAAAACAAGACCCCTACCTATCCCCATACACAAAAATAAACTCTAAATGAATCAAATACCTAAACATAAAACCTCAAACTATAAGAACTTAGAAAATGCAGGGGGCATCCCTATGGAAATTGGAACTGGCAACCAATTCTTGATCAAAACCCCAAGTGCCCATGCCATAAGAGATAAAATAGACAAGTGGGACCTCCTCATCAAATTGAAAAGCTTCTGCAAAGCCAAAGAAACTATCAAGAGAGTGGGGAGACAGCCCACAGAATGGGAAAAAATATTTGCCAACTGTAAATCTGACAAAGGCCTATCACCTAGGATCTACAAGGAACTCAAACATGCCAAAAAGAAAAACAAACAAACAAAAAAACAGTCCTATTCCAAAGTGGGCAAAAGATATGAATAGACACTTCTCAAAAGAAGATATACAAGCAGCCAACAGATACATGATAAAATGCTCAGTCTCACTAATCATCAAAGAAATGCAAATTAAAACCACACTGAGATACCACCACATCCAGTCAGGATGATGATCACCAATAACTAAAAGACAGCAGAGGTTGAAGAGGATGTGGGGAAAAGGGAACACTTCTACACTGCTGTTGGGAGTATAAACTAGTACAGCCTCTGTGGAAAACAATGTGGTGAGTCCTAAAAGATCTAAAAATTGACTTCCCACATGACCCAGCAATTCCTCTTCTGGGAATATACCTGGAGGAACTCAAATCATTCTATAAAAAAGATACCTGCACATACATGTTTGTTGCAGCATTATTCACATGGAACCAACCATACTGCCCGTCAAAAGTAGAGTGGATTTAAAAAATGTGGTACATATACACGACGGAATATTACGCAGTCAAAAAGAAGGACAAAATTCTGAATTTTGCAGCAAGTTGGATGGATTTAGAATCTATAATACTCAGTGACCTATCACAGAAACAAAGAACTGAGTACTACATGTTCTCACTCATAAGTGCACCCCGAGCAATTATCACAATACTACAAGAAAGGGATTGGCAATAATGGAAACTGCCAGGAGTGGAGGAGGAAGGGGAGCACACTTCATCAATAAGTGTTCTTGATCTCAAACTAGATGAAGTGGAAACCAAAGTGAGGTCCAAACTTTACCTGTACAATGACCATTTGTATACCTAACCCTGAATTTTACCCTACATCTTTAAAATAAAAATTTTTTAACAAATTTTCTTTGGTTGGTTGAGTCTGGGATGATAAAATTTCAGAAAGTAGTTGTCATACTAATGAACATATGTATATAAATATGATATACCACATCCATATAAACATCCCAGATATGTGTTTAGTATTTTACACTTTTAAAAATGATTCACTTGCACTTTATCATTTTGATCCTAATAAAAATGTAGTCAATGCAGGAACAGAAAGGCATAATACTTATTAAGTGTATATGGTGCAAAGACTGCACTAAAAATTCTAGGTGTGCAAACTCTTTTAAATTTCTTTTTCTGTAAATGGGGCTAAAAATAGTATTTACCTCCGTATTATTGGTAGGATTAAATTACATAATGTATTAATACATTTAGAAGAGTGCTTGGCATATAGTAAATGATGAATAAATATAAGCTGATAGTAATATCACCACTTTGTTTAACCCATGAACATCCCCATCTGTTTAATAACAATATTTCCCTTTACATGTGAGGAAACAGACTCAGAGATATGACATCATTTGTTCAAGATCATATAACTGGTAAATGGTATTGCTCGAATTGGAATCCAGCCCAAGTTATTCTGACTTTGGAGTCCACTGTCTTTTAATTACGCTGATATTTCCCTAAGTGTTTTCTATGTAACACTAGTCCTACAAAATGACTTAGGAAAAGGAGTTTTCTAGGACATGTATATTTAGAAAATAGTCAAGAAAACATAAAGAATACTTTCAGATTAAAAATGCTGAAAATGTGCACAACAAAGAAAACTGCTCAACTTGGTTTCAGCCAGTGTTTTCCAAACTCAGTTGCTCATAGAATCCTTTCGTTTTGGCATACCTGTCAATATTCTGCAAATTACAGAACATGAAATACAGGTTCTTTGAGAAATGTCACATTTCATCACCCTGTCTTTCACGATTCGACAAAGATAGAAGGAATATTACCCTTATTTTACAGATGAGCGTGAGGCTCAGGAAAGCTAAATATAAATGACTTATGTCATGGTTATACTGCTATCAGAAGTCAGAATTTAAAACTAGGTCTTCTGATTTTAGTTCATCCTAGTATCCTTTCTGTTGCACTATGCGATATGTGTGTTACATATGCTATGCAACAATATTGTGCAAACAATCTTATTTTGAAAGTTCATGATACAGTTGTCCAAATTATTGATAGGCTAAGATTTTTAGGACACAGATAATACTAAGGTTTAATGTAATTTCTATCCTAAATTAATACCTTTTTTTTTACACTTTTATTGTCAGTATTTTTGGTTTTACTATTAAGACAAGCCCTTCTACCAATATATTTTAAACTTACTTGATTAAAACAGAGCTTGAGAATTTTGCCTATCTTTCAAATTCTGGTTTAAGTATATTTTTTGAAGAGAGTATCCAACTTGCTGTTAGTCAGATGGAATTTCTATCAATTTTTTAATGTTCTTAAGGCAAGTAGATAAATACAATAAAGAATAAAAAGACTTTTCAGAAAAAAGCAGAATTCTCCTCCTCTTAGGAAATTTATTCCTTTGAACTCAGCAATTGCTGTGTGTGTGTGTGTGTGTGTGTGTGTGTGTGTGTAGCTTGGCCAATTTCCTTTTCTAATTATGTTAATAACTAGTTTCCACTGTTTGCCAAACTCATTAATTAGGATAATTGGCATCATACAATTGAATGTATATCTATAGACAAATTTTGTATTATAGATTTAGAAAACACTGGATATACAATGTGAATTTGAGAAAGAATTAAGTGTACTCTTTATTACATATGCAACATGAATCACAGTTTCACCAAATATTAATATATGGAATTCTTTTCCCCAGATTCTTTTGGCTATTTGCCTTGGTTCTCAATTTTCTGTATAAAACATGGTTCCAATTGATTCTTTAATAAAATCACATTTTCTTTTTTTTTTTCGAGTTGGAGTCTCACTCTGTCGCCCAGACTGGAGTGCAGTGGCCGCTCCCGGCAACCGCAGCCTCAACCTGCTGGGCTCCAGCGATCCTTCTGCCTCAGCCTTCCAAGTAGCCGGAATTACAGGCGTGCGCTACCGCCCGGCTGATTTTTTGATTTATTGTAGAGATGAGTTCTCGCTGCCCAGGCAGGTCTCGAACCCGCGGGCTCAGGCAATCCACTCACCTCAGCATCCCAAAGGCGCGGAATTACAGGCTGAGCCACCGAGCCCAGCTAAATCACATTTTCCACCGAAGAAGTCAGACCTTTGTTTTTGTTTTATTGACTCAAATCTTTTCAAGTGTAAATTAATAGGTCAGAAAGCAGAATTTCAAAAACATTGAGGCATCATGTGTACTATGGTGTCATGAGGAAGCCCTGCCTTCACCTATCTGTGTTCCAAGCCTGTCCTGGTTTAAACTCATGAACACAACAAAATGTTCATTCTGAGTCACTGCTGAAAACCTGCTATAGAAACTCTAGTCAAGAGAATGCAGGAAAAAAAAACATAATTAATTTGGAGGAGGGGCAGTAGGTTTAAAAGGGGACTTTCTTGCTTCATAAAATAATAAGCCAGAAAAGTTTTCTTGACAGACAACCCCACACAAAGTTTGGGGAACTTACAGTACTTCCTTGTTTTCAGTCTTTAGAATTTGAAGTATCTCTTCTTTCTTCGCAGTTCTGAGGTGCTGAATGAAGTCCAGGAAGTTTCTGACGACCTCAGCCTTGGAGAGGTTGTCAGGCTGTAGGTGTCTCCTGATGGACTGCCAGCGCTCCACGAGCTACAACACAAAGCATAGCACTCTGAACATCCACATTTACAAAAGGTGTTCTCCCCAGAAGGAAAACGTTGCTTGTATCAGAAGCAAGAGAAGCTTTGTGTATCTTACCACAATATACTGATGGCTTTCTGCCCATATCACAACCCTGTGACTTCCATTGAACGTGTGTACCACTCCTCTGCAGGAGGATCATTTTCTGTTAGTACTTAGCTTGAGCGATAATTAACTAGTTTCTGGGCATGTAAGTCATCTCATAGCTACTCCAATGGATTTATATCCGAGGTCAGGCTTTGAATACCATATTGAAATTGTGTAGAATTTTCGCGCACAGTAGGATATTTTGGAGGGGAAAAAAAACTAGTACTGCTGAAGAATTGCATCAAGTTTCTAATTTACCTGCACCTCACTGATATTCCATTTTTTTGATAGTTTGAGCTTCCTATTCTAGTTCTTTATTGTATGTTTGTATGAAATTCAACTATTGAGGTCTGAATTGTTCATTGTCTGTATCTATGTAGAGTAGTATTTAGATAAAGGTAGTTCACACACACACACACACACACACACACACACACACACACTAACTTATTCTACTGTGGTTTTAAAAATAGTAAATAGTACTAATTAATGACACCTCTTGGCTTTAAAACAAACTAAATAACTTATTTTTCATAGGGTACTACTTTCCCCTAGTTTTACAGAATGTGTTAAATCCTATCAGTGACTTCTAGCTCTCCAACCAGTTTTAAGTTACTCATTACTTCTAATAAGCAACAGACACTTATTTTTCTTCTTTGAAAATCCCCTTTAGCTATCTAAAAAGGATTTATCTATTCTTAAGAGAATATCCCAAAGTAAAATTCCAGCTGTACTTAGCTAAAGATTTACTGAGTCTTTTCTGAGAGCAGCATGAATATCAATGTGAATTCAGACTATTTTTTTTTTTTGCTTTGTATAGCTGCAATAGGTGAAATTATACTGAATCTGGAAACATAAATTCCACAAAGATGCAAATTCTTTTTAAAATAATCAAAAAATAATTATCAAGAATTTTAGATGGCTCATACTACTTAATAACTACAGGGAATAAATTAATAAATTAATAATAATAAATAACAAATAAAATGTTATTAATAAATTAATTAATAAGAAAATATTAGTTAATAAATTAATAAGAAAATATTAGTTTCAATAGTTATTCTCCTAAGTAATTTTCATCTCATACATTGGAATATTAAATTGCATATGCAAGCAAAGCAAATAAAAGAAAGTTTGAAAATGATTATTTTGTGTTGCAAAGTGTTTTGTTTTTCCTCTAATTCAATTTTAGAAACTAATAAGAAATTACACTCTTGTACTTTAAGCAAATTATGGTATTATTTCTTGATGATTTCATTTTTCTGAACATCAGTAATGTCCAGGGGAAGAGCATCTTCTGGTAGCTACACACACAACTTGAAGCCAAGAGTTTGTTCTCCTCACAAGAGAGAAATGCTGGACCCTAAAGTCATTTCTCTGATCACACATGATAACTCATTCATGGAATAAATGTAACTTCTCTTTGTTGAATTAAAAATGTTATAAGAGCCAGGCTTGGTGGCTCAGCCTGTAATCCCGCGCCTTTGGCAGGCTGAGGTGAGTGGAATGCCTGAGCCCACGGATTCGAGACCCGCCTGGGCAGCGAGACCTCATCTCTACAATAAACCAAACAGTCAGCGGGAGTGGTAGCACATGCCTGTAATTCCGGCTATTTGGAAGGCTGAGGCGGAAGGATCGCTGGAGCCCAGCAGGTCGAGGCTGCGGTGGCCAGGAGCGGCCACTGCACTCCAGTCTGGGCGACAGAGTGAGACTCCAAATCAAAAAAAAAAAGAAAAAAAAATGTTATAAGATGATCTAATTAGGGCAGAAATCTCAGTTCTCGTTCTTAAGCTCTCACAGCAACACTCAGAACACTGAGGTCAAAATCTGTGAACAAATCACTGTTAAGTGACAGAACTTTCAGGCTTCAGCCTTTGTTCATGTTTTTGACATCATGTGCTTCTCCTTAGGCCATTATCCCCCCTGAATTCTAGGTGCAGCTTTTAAAAGACTGCCCTTAAGTAAAGATATTTTTTGTTTGAGATGAGTGGGTGGTAACTATTTGTTAATCACTGCATTATGCAGCATCTCAGGTGCATATTGTGAGACCACTGTCATCATAACTCCATGGGGGCTGGTAGTACTTTAGAGCCTTCTTCATTGAAATAGCAGATGCTTTCACTGGAGACAAAAGGAAAATCAAGTTTTAAGTCATGATTATCCCCATATTTGCTCACACTTACAGAAGGGCATCCTTTACAATTGCTCTGGAAGACTTGCCCCATGATGGGAACAGCTGTGTACTTTGGATCAACTGCTTTAATGATGGCTGCCGCCTGCTTCCCGGACATCAGTCTTGGGCCTGCTTCAGTGGTCTTCAGCTCTAACTTCTGCCTGCATCACGCCAAAAGGAAATATCACATTACATGCATTCTTTTGAGTGAATAAGATACTAATTGCCATTCTTTTGGCAAATGAGATATTAATTTATTCCAATTGTTATTGGCCTGTCTTTCAAACTGTGGAATCCCCAGAGGTAACAGAAACCTCAAGATAATGATAAAGTTTCTCTGGAACAACCATTTTATGCAAAGATTTGAAAATTTAAGTTTGGATTTTCAAACTATTATGACACAAAACTGTAGAAGAAAATTGCCTGGATGCTGAACAACACATGGGATGTCAGCTCTTTTTTTTTTTTTTTTGAGTTGGAGTCTCACTCTTGTCGCCCAGACTGGAGTGCAGTGACCGCTCCCAGCCACCACAGCCTCGACCTGCTGGGTGCTGGCGTTCCTTCCGCCTCAGCCTTCCAAGTAGCTGGAACTACAGGCGTGTGCTACCACGCCCGGCTAATTTTTTGAACTGCCGCGGGCTCAGGCAGTTCACTCACCTCAGCCTCCCAAGGTGCGGGATTACAGGCTGAGCCACTGAGCCTGGCTTGTCAGCTCTTTTGAATTTAGCCCAGGTTTCTTTTTTTTAAGGGATTTTTATTTTTTTAATTTTATTTTATAGCTTAGCTTTCTGAAAATGTTATCTTCAATACAATGATATGTCACTTTTTAAATTTTTTAATTTGAGTTGGAGTCTCACTCTGTTGCCCAGGCTGGAGTGCAGTGGCACACTCATGGCCACCGCAGACCCGACATGCTGGGCTCAGGTGATCCTTCTACCTCAACCTTCCAAGTAGCTGGAACTACAGGCGCGCACCACCACACCCGGTTAATTTTATTGATTTATTGTAGAGATGAGGTCTCGCCAAGTTGTCCATGCTGGTTTCAAACCCTGCAGGCTCAGGCAATCCTCTCACCTTGGCCTCCCAAAGTTCTGGGATTATAGGCGTGAGCCACAACACCTGGCCTCACATGTCATTTTTTAAACAACACAGTCAGAAAATTGTATTTTCCAAAAATAGTCTTAATAATACCTTTGTCTGACATGTTCTTCAAGAAGCTTGTTTCTCTGCCATCAAAGGGTAGAATCTACATCCTTGAGCCTAGGTAGGACTCTGTGACTGCCCTAATAGAGGACAGTGGAAGTGGCACAATATGACACTGTCTTCAAAGGAGATTCAACTTTCATTGGCACACTATCAGCAAATATGTCTTTGGACCCTTGAGCTACTATATGAGAGGTCTGGCTACATGAAGCTGCCATGAAGTGCCCCTCTGGAGTCCACATGGAAATAAAGAGAGATGCGTGAGGAACTTCAGTTGTTTGAATCTTCCTGCGCCAAGCACCAGATAGGTGAGGCAGCAACCTTGGAATAGTTCCAGCTCTAGCCATGGTGACTGTCTGCAATTACATAACAGATGACCAGGAAGGCAACAGCAAACCCCAAAATTATGAGAGAGGATAATACAATGATTGTTATCTTTTATACCACTAAATCTGGGCTAGTTTGTTGAATAGCAATGGAAAGCAGATAGACTTAATAAGTAATTTAAAATATGTATTTTATATGAAAATGTAAGAAAACAACATAGACATAATATGAAGTCTAATGCAACATTCTACTCCAGGTGAGACATCAATACAATTTCAAGCATTAAGGGTTAGAGGCACTTTTCCCAAGATTTTGTATCCATTTGGTGCTAATATGAGAGCTACTTCAGAGGAAATTTTTGAGAAGCAGTGACATAAGGTATAATACGTTTACTGCTAGAAAATATTCTTTTCTGAATTAAAATCTGAAAATAACAAAAACTCTTAGACTTGAAATTTCAGTTCTTAATCCTACTAGAACTATTATGACCAGAAAAATGGTGTCAAACTGAAAAACAGGCTTAAAAACTTAAGTTTTATAAGTCACATAAAAAATTCTGTCCCATCTCTTTACTAGGGAACTTTTGAGGTTTTTTAACAATGCTTAAAAAAATAACTCTTAAGAAGAGAAAATGCAAATGTCACTACTTTTTAACCTTAACATGAAAAATATTTGACAGAGAAAGAAATTAAAAAATGAACTAAAATGAGTCAAATAGCTTATTGCTTTAAAATTTAAACTCTATTCAATAAATGATTTTAATAACATTTTATTTAAAAAGAATAATTATTATGTGTTATGCATTGCTGTAGATGTATTTCAAGGTGCTCACAGTTGAGATGAGATGTACTTGATATGTACAGTCATGAGTCACATAACAATGTTTTGAATGAAGGTGATCCCGTGAGATTATAATGGAGCAATAGACACATTCCTCTCACCTAATGACATCATCACTGTCATAATGTCATAGCTCAATATATTTCTCACATGCTTCTGGTGACACCAGTGGAAGCAAACCCACTGAGCTACTGTTGTACTAAAGGATATAGCACATAGTTATGTACAATACATAATATTTGATAATGATGATAAGCAACTGTTACTGATTTACGTTATTTACTATACTATACTTTTTAATCATTATTTTAGAGTGTACTCCTTTGACTTACAAAGGAGTAGCAGCTCATACCTGTATTCCCAGCACTTTGAAAGGCTGAGGTGGGGGGTACTGCTTGAGTTCAGGAGTTCAAGATCTGCCTAGACAATATAGTGAGACCTCACCTCTACAAACATAACATAAAAAATTAGCCGGGCATGGTAGTACATGCCTGTAGTCCCAGCTACTTAGGAGGCTGAGGTGGAAGGGTTTCCTAAGGTTGAGGTTGTGATGAGCTGTGATCATGCCACTGCACTCCAGCCTGGGTGACAGAATGAAATTCTGACTAAAAAAAAAAATTAACTATAAAACAGCCTCATACATGTCCTTCTGGAGGTATTCCAGAAGAAGTCATTGTTGTCACCGGAGATAACAGCTTCATGTGTGTTATTGCCTTGGAAGACCTCCAGTGCGACAAGAAGTAGAGGTAGAAGACAGTCATATTGATGATCCAGACCCTGTTTAGGCCTAGGATAATGTGTGTTTGTGTCTTAGTTTTTAACAAGAAAGTTTAAAAAGTAAAAAATAAAAAAATATTTTAAAAATAGAGAAAAGTTTATAGAATAGGAATATAAAGAAAAAATATTTTGTACAGCTATATAATGTGCTTGTGTTTTATTAAAAAAGAGTCAAAAAGGTAAAAAAAAAGTTTATAAAGTAAAAGTTACAGTAAGCTAAGTTTATTATTGAAGAAACAACATTATCTTAAAACAAATTTAGTGTAACCTAAGTGCACAGTGTCTATAAAGTCCACAGTGGTGTACAATATTGTCCTAGGCCTTCACAATCACTCACTACTCGCTCACTGACTCACCCAGAGCCACATTCAGTCTGTAAGCTCAATTCATGGTAAGTACCCTATTCAGGCATACCATTTTTAATTATTTCTATTATACTTTTACTGTACGTTTTATGTTTAGATACACAAATACCTAACATGTGTCACAATTGCCTATTATATTCCATATGCATGAGCTTGTAGCCTAGGAACAATAGGTTATCACATATGGCCTAGCTGTATAGGAGGTTATACCATCTAGTTTGTGTAAGTGCTCTCAATAATGTTCACACAATAACAAAATCACCTAATGCTGCGTTTCTCAGAATGTATTTTCATCATTAAGCAATGCATGGCCGTTTATATGTTTATGTACACACACACACACATCTATTTACAAGTCAAGTATATAATGTAGCAAAGAGTAGCAAAAAAAAAAAAAATTCAGCATGATCTTACTTTGATACTATTTTCCCTGTAATGGTTTGCAGGAAATTCAGCCCAAAAGCATGTATTTCTTCAGCAAGTACAGCTATAACAAAGCTGTCTTCTATCTTATAGGTAGTGACAGATGAGGATTTTGAACTGACACCCAAGACCTAAATAAATAAAGAGCCATCTTTATAACAAGTAATTAGTTTCTTAATCTTTGAATCAAGTCAAACAGCAACTATTTTTCAGTCTACAAAAGAGCTTCCCTCTTAAATCCTTGCCCCATCACCCCCACCTACAACATATTTCAATGTCTTTCCATTTCATATATATGAATCTATAGCCTAAACTAAAAATTATGAATGTTCCCAAATTATGTATTCACTTTATTTTTCTATTATGCTAAATTAATTTCTACATGTAGTATGTGACTGCCTCAAAGAAGGTACATCGCTCATACCTGATTTGGGTTTGTGAATCCAGACCTCATTATTTTGCATGAATCCAAGGCCTTAGTTTTGATCACTTTGTCTTTATGAGTCTGGTAGATCACTTTGCAATTTCCAGAGATATCTATCTAAAAAGAAAGGCAAGAATGTAATGCTTGAGATTTCTTGTGGACCATTTGAATTTTAACGACAAGTGGCTTGAAAATTGAGGCCTCTAATATGCCTTTGAGGATTGCCTCTTTTTTTCAGATGACAAGATAAAAAGACAGGAAGAACTCAAGATTACTAGCACCTTCTCATTTTCTCAGAAATAACATGGGATTTCCTACTTCTTTGTGTGTTCAATAAGAATCAGACTACGATCAATTATGGTCTTATCTTAACTGAAACCTCTGGCGAGCTATGTGGCAAGGGGATATGGTTGTCAATGGCTGTATCTAGACTCTTTCTCCCTCCCTCTCACTCTCTCCCTCTCTGTCTCTCTCTGTGTGTATAACTGTGACTAGTTGAGTATGATTAGAAATTCTTAAAAACCTATGGGATTAATTCAACCCATTATTAGTTACACCAGCAATGTGAGTTTAGACAAATGTATCCCAATACAGATTCTGTAAAGGGTCTCTGTGTTTTCCCTGGGGATCTCTGCCAGCACCACACCTGATCTCTACCATAGCAAACTAACTAACATTCTTCTGGCCCAGCCCTGACGTCTACTTTTCTTACCCACTCATGGGCTGGCTGAATTCAGACTAGAAAACTCAAACTCCAGCCTTGACTCCAGGTGTGCTACAGAAAGATCTGTGTAACTTCTGTAGTTTCTTCTTTTGTAAAATGGTATAGCCACTTGATGGAGACAAGTGGCTCCCTGCACTGGCAGTGCATCTAAGTAATCCATGAAGACTGTTAAAATACAGATGCTCAGGTCTGCCCTAATCTACTTAATTAGAATCTCTGGGGTTAATCCAGAGACTCTGAAATTTTAATAATGCCCCATGATACAATGGCACACACAGATGTCTAGAAACCACTGGAATGATCCTCAAGGTTTTCTGCATATATAATATTCAGTTATCCTATAAACCCCCTTAATATAACTGATTCTAGTTCTCTTTACACTGTAATTACATAATTTAGGTAAAAGCAATGACTTCATATGCAAAGGAGACTTAATGATGCAACTCACCCTTTCTGAGCATTAGCTTAGTATTAACTCTTCTATTGAATTTTTACAAGTAGAAATTCTTATAAATTCTCTGTTGACAAATGAGTTGCTAAATCATTAACAATGTTGGTAAATACCTCATTGGTGGTTCCAGAGCTTAACTGCATCTGAAATAGGCTAGCCAGGCCTCTCTTCAGATTCTCTATGGCCACTGGTTCATTTTGATATGAATAAAACTCTTTGACCTATTGGGGGAAAAGGAGAAACACAAATGAAGCAAAAATGCATCATATAATAGATTTGGCTAAATAAGCGGCAGGAAAGGTTAGATTCTCACCCCTATTAATTCTGGGAAAAGAGATCTGGTACTCTAAATCTGGGATTACTTTTTTGTAAAAAGAAGCTATTTAATTCTCTAAGAAGCTGGGCTATCAGAATGTGGAGTTTAAGGTGGCTGGTAATGACAGCTCTAAACACGATGAGCATAGCACAGGGAGGCAAAGAACAAGGATAGAGGCTGGGACCTCTGTGAAAACAAGGGTTGCCCAAGAAAGAGAAATCAGAAACATTCTCTTTGAACATGTTCTTTACCTGTAACCCTGCTTGAAACAAAAAATAACCGAGAGTTAAAATAACAGCAAATATAAACATTCTTGGAAGAGAATGGCAATTACCACCCTTGAAACTACTGAGATGGCTCAGGCATGGCCATATTGCCAATGGTCAAAATTTCATAGGAGCGAAGTTTTGTTGCCTTCTAGATCATTTACATTGGTCTTGGCTAAAAAGAGATACAGAAAGTTGTCTGAGTTGAGGTTGAGATTGCTAAGCTTGTATAACCTGCCCCAGGCACTGCTTTGAGATTCCCTTTAGAAGGCAGGGAAAAGAGGTTAAAATGAGGAGGGTGACTGTGATTAGGCAGCAATAGTGAACAACTTAGCTTTCTGTTATCATTCTTAATATTTGTAGGCAGAGGGATGATGACAGTGTCTTTTCCCATTGTGATAATTTAACCCCTGTTTGAGAAACAAGGATAAAAGTACAAAGATAATTTTCTGGAAAGCAGCCTGCTGTTTTTTTGTCCTGTATTGACACTAAATGCATTGCACGATTTAGAAATAGAGGACAGATATGTCTTCCTTGTAAAAATTCCCAAGGTCAATGATAATTATAGTTGAGCAATATACTGAATGCCTTCCTATTCCTCTTTAAAACTCACTATGACTTCACAAGTCAAACAGAAAGCTCAATAATTATGCCACAAATCTAATTAATATCAATCTGAATAATATAACCTACATAAAAACTCTTGTTACCTTAGAAAAAGAATATTTTGCCTGAGTTATCCAAACAAGTGCCTCAAATCTCTATTTTTTACTTCATACATATACTCTGCCTGGTGTTAAATGTACTGGGTACTTTATCTGGCAATCAACTTTAGCCATTACACTGGACAAACCTATAAATGTTGGAAGAGTGTTTGTCCCGGTTATAAAGGAACTGGAATAATGACCTCAGTGTCTGAAAATCCACGGTATCATATTCTCAAACAAACCACTGGCAATTTCTCAGACCCAAGCCTGAGTTTGTGATGTCCTATTTTGTGAAAGAAATATTCTTTCTTTTAATAATCACAGCATAATTTCCTTTTCAAATATTTGGGAGTATGATATCTCCAGATGAATGACTATTAGAAATTCATTAGAAATGACTATTAGAAATTCAACTGGGTTGCTTGAGCCCAGAAACAGTCAGAAGTGCTCACTGGGTGACCATGAACACCTGCCTACGGCCATGTCTTTTTTTTTTGGTATTAGTCATAGATACTTTAAAGAGCAAGAAGATACATTAAGTGGGAAGAATACCTGTGTTATCATCATTATCTCACTTTCCTGCCAGGCTAAGAAATGTACTTGAGCTATTTATAAAGTTTTACCTAAAATTTCATGAAACCTGGTTCTTGGATTTAATCTTTGGACTATGCATACAGTTAAGTGCTCTTTTATTACAGATCTAGTTTTTTAGATCAAGTTTTTATCTTGACCTCTAGATCCCTCAGAAATGGTGTTAGAGTCATTTTTCCCCTAGCAGGCTGAATGATAGATATAAACTATAAGACACAAAGAAAACAAAATTGTTTTCATTCTTTCTATAAGTTTTTATTGTTTCCCTAGAACTAGAAAAGTGGACAAGTTTCTTTTTCTTTTGACTACTATTTCTGGAACCTAAATTTGATTTCTTTATTGCAGACTGATGAGATTCAAAGTGAAGATAGCACTGGTATCCAATCCTCAATAAGTGTCAAAACTGTTAGAATTGAGCTGCCTTGTGATCATTAAAAAATAATCATATAAAGTCAGAATTGTGCAGCTCAATCCACATGGCTGTCACAGCAATAATCTTTAATTCATTATTTCACAACAGGAACTGAGTAAGTTTTATTATACTTGGGCCATAAAGCTGATTACTTCACTCAGCACTGAAATGAGTTCTGAACATCTAAGAGCACAAGGTTCTTTATCTAAACTCACAGTCCCCAAACAGCAGCAGCAGGAACAACCTAGTTACAATCTACAATAGATTTTTAAACCAAGAAAAGGAAATCTAAAGTGAGACTGGACAAGGAAACTAGGAAGGAGTTGCAGTGAGTCTTCCAGTTAAATATGGGGGACCAGTTACCACTTGAAATCAGTAAGACAATTTTTCCTTAGGATAAAGATGTCTCCAACATTCCTTTAATTTATATATTTTTTAAGAATAAGAGAAGACAAAATTCCGTTAACTGGCCAAACAGCAAAAACAAATAAAAAGGATCCCAACCACCAAGGCTTAGTCATTTTATCTTTGATATTATCTAAGACAGTATAGCTAAGAAATGTCTATATTGGCATATTGGAGAACAAACAAGTAGAGAAATATATAACAAATTTTTTAGGAAAGCTTACAAGGTGTCACTTTTCTTGTGGAGGTTCAGTGTGTGTACATGAGTCACACTGCCAGATTAAGAGAGCAAATCAATGCTTAAAAATAACGAGAAATACAGGGTTGTGATTAATGTAATCAATACAGACAACCAAAACCAGAAATGGATACCTGGTAATTATCCAGTTAATCAGATTAGTATTTCAAGGCATGAAAGAATCCATGCTATGATTTAGGGGATCTTTTGCTTGTCTGTGTTAATCAACTTAACCAGGTAACTGTCATGTTTCCAACTTAGTTTATGATTTGTAGACAAAGCTAGGCATGCCCAAACACTTATGCAGAGGAAATGGTTGGGTGTGGAAAAAAGAATATGTGCAATGAGTATGTATCTGAGTATCTTGATGGGCTGTCATTTATAATATAAATGTGAGAGCTTCAAATAAAAAAGGAAGAGAGACCTCTGGAAAGACAAAAAAATGCCAGTGCACATCCTTGAAATTTCTGTGACTTGATCCAGGGTACAAAATGTGCTTTAAGAAAATAGTCCATCAGCAGTTCACCTGTCTTTTCAAAATATCTCTCATACTAAGCTGAAATGACAGTTTAAATAATGATCTTTCTGACAGTGATACGGCCGAAACTTCCACTTGGCTTCTTAGTTTCCAGGGACAAGTTTTTTCCAACAAGTACTTTATTGTATAATTGAAAGATATGATGATGTACTTTAACCTGTGGTTAAATAATCACAAATCATAGCTCCTCTACAATTGACCCACTGGAGGCACTGAAATAATGACGTGGCATTTCCGTTCCAGCCTTTGAACAGTGGGACTACTGGGTTCTTCCATGTGTGTAACAATAGACTTTGTACTCAGTTGCTAAGATTATAACTATAATGTTGGAAGCCCAGAGAAGAAAATGACAATACTTCACGTTGTAACAAAGTTGAGCTACATCCAAATCAAGTAAGTCAACAGATACCATGATGTAAATCAGAAAGACTACACAAGTCACCCAAAGAGGCAGGCATTCTCCCAATACTTTCAGCTAGAAGACAGGAGAAAACAGAAATGTGAACATAGACTCTGTTTCAAATCCCAGCTCCACCACTTGCCAGTTGTGTGATCATAGGCAAGCTTCTTAAAGTCTCTTAATTTGGGTTCCTCATCTATCTCAAGAGGATGTAAAGCAGCCCCTGCTTCTCAGGCCTGCTAAGAGGATAATAGAGACAATTCATGTAATGCCTCTAGTCATATTTGCCTGGCACACAGTAGGTGCTCAGGACATTAGCAAAAACTTTCTCAAGGTGGAGTTCATTTGAGTTCCATATAATCTTGTTTGATTGAGTGCTCACACAATCGCTGCCCAAGAGAAACTTATTCTGTATGTGTAGAGCCAAGAAATAGAGCGGAAGGTTACCATGCATTGTGATAAATGCTTTGACAGAAATAAGCACAAAGGCTAGCTAGAGGTTTGGGAGAATGTTGGGAAGGCTTCATGGAAAACTCAGTGCAAGGCACGGTTCTGGGTGTTTTGGGGAGGGAAGGAGTGGAAAGGCACGGAAGTGAAGAGGAAGGACTGGAATAGAAAGAAGAATGGGGATTTTCTCCAACCAAAACCATAATCCAGTGATGAACACAAATGATCACAGAGAAAGTGATAAAGGTCATGAATGAGCTACAAAGTGCCACGAGTGTTCTAAAGAGTGATGGTTATTTCCAGCTGGCTGGAAGGGTGTAAACTTTATGAAAGAAAGGACCTGTGAGCAAAATCTGAAACATGGTAGGTATTTTGACAAGTGGGGAAGGAAGAGAAAGCATTCTTGAAGACAGAGAGATTCATATTTGGTTTCAGGAAAACTGACAGCACAAGATTCCTTCCTGTGAGTCTCATTTTAGTACTTTATGTAAAAATGTGCATTGTGATTAGCAACATAGATGTCTGAAATTTCTATTTTAAAGTGTTTGTTTTCAACTTTATGTTGAATCTAGAAATTTTTGTTTTTAAAGGTGTGCAGATTTATAACTATAATGTTCCCTTTCTTTTTTTCTGCTTGGGTTCCCAAACTGAGTTCTCATCTTTACTAATGCATTTTTATATATGGCAACACAATATCTGTAATTTTCATAGACCCACATGTATAATGCCTGATAATTCACTGATTTCAATGGCTTCTCAATTCCAAATATACTAAGATCATTTTAATAGACTAGAATCAAACCAAAAACAATGCATACTTATAGACTTTAAAAAATAAATTTGTAAATGGCTATTATAAAGTATTTATTCATTATTTAGTACTTCAAATGTATTCTCTATACCACAGTTTAAAAATAATCTCTAAACACTTTTTTAAAAAATAAACTCTACCTTGGACTTGCTGTGCCCTTTCAAAAGTTTCAACTCTATTCTTTAGCCAGATATTGAATTCTTATAAAAAGTAAAAATGTTACTAATCTAAGTTAGATCACTTTATTCTCATAATTCATCTTCTTTCCTGAATTTATCCAACCATTCTGTGATGACTCTATCTTTGTAACCTTTCCTAATTTGATAAGGAATGTACTCTTCAATAATGCCTTTCATTAATATGCAAGTATTTGATTCTACTATAAATATTTTCACCAAATATAGGAAAAATTAATTGACTATAAAATATAAAAAAATTTGGAGCATTGGTTTACACTGGGGCATTTGGAAGTGTTTAATGTACAATCTCTGTTTAACAAGCTTTTGAAAAAATTTTATTTACCATAAAAGTAGTGACAGCATGATTGTCTCAAAATAATACCTACTGAAGGAAAAAAAAATACAAAGTTGGAGAAAAAAGATTTAAAATCCTCCAAATCTTTTTACCTTCCCATGGATTAGATGAAGAAGCATAGGTCTTTGCAGAGCTTCCAAGTTTTCCTTTCCTATGATTTTAGGTGGATTTTTTCCTTTGAAGATGCTCTTCTCTCCTCTCTGTTGATTCACATTTTCAACATTTACATCCTTTATCTGGAGTCAAAGAAAGAAATCGGTCAAAAAAAACCTTCCAGTATCTGTCCCCACAATCTCTTAGAAAATAAAATGGTTAAGGAATAGACACAATTGGCTATAATTTTTTCAATTCATGATTTATAGGATCTTGCCACTCACTTTAAAAGAATAGAGAAGGTATTCAAAAATTAGATTTTTTAAATTAAGCAAAAGTACCAACGTTTAAAGGACTCTGTGACTTCAGGCTTACAGTAACTGTGACCTAAAATAAACTCTTTTACGTTCAATTGTCATGCTTCATTTGTTTTGTATGGTTGATGTTGGCATGATTACCTTCTGTACCACTTGTTGGCCCCATTCCATCTCACCGATATATGTAAAAATAGATAAACAGTCTAATTACTGTATAAGAAGGGGTGTGGTAGTTTCTTGTAGAATAATTTACTGTTCTACTGAGAAATGGCTAAGAAAGGTGAACGATGATATTTTGATTCAATTTGCAAAATGCAACAGTTATTAGAGACATTCAAAGAAGCAAAGACCACGTGGTAAATGTATTGCAATGATGCCTCACTATAAAGGACATTAGCAACTACTTATTCCAAGTACTGAATCCTGCATGCCTGTTTCACATTAACATACAGAAGAATAACCGACTTAAGTAAAGAAATCAATTGCCTCTAGGTTCTTGAGAAGCAAATATGGAATCACCAAACATTAAAATTATGAAAGGTCCCATAGACCATATAATTTGGCCTCCCTTCTCAACACACCAGTCTAAACCATTGTGAGTGACCCAACGCTGTCATGCAGAGGAGTACCTACTTCCTTTCTCAGGAAGAAGACAATACTTCCTCACTAGTAATTCTACCTGTTGTATCAAGGAACTCAGACACTTCCCAATTTATCTCATCTTGCAGTTAGAGTGGCCCAGTTGTTTTTCATGTGATATGGATTCTAGACCCCCTCACTCCCAAAACATTTAAAATGGATTTTGGTTTAATGCCTCTAGTAGGGACATTATCTATATGACCTATAGAATTGGACACCATACTCCAGCTTGTCACCAGCATATACCTTCTATTGCCTGCTTCAACAATTTGGAAATATGAGCTCACTTTGGATCAGCAAAAATGTCAAACATGGAGAACTGCTTGTTTTAGTGATAGATAAACTAAATGGATATATAACTAAGAAGACAAAACAAGTGCTATGAAGTGGCACTATTCTCAAAGACTTTGCTGACACTTAATCTTTGCATTTTTTATGGTAAAAAAAAATGCCCACCGTAATTTGAATCAGTTGGTCATCATCACCATCAGGATTTCTCCACAGTAAGACAACATCCACACTGGAGGAAATTCGATAGCCCACACTGTCTTGTAGTTTCTCCTTGCTCCGATCAAGAAAAACTTCAGTGGAGTATGTGAGCTTATACAGACGGTCATTATTTAATGAGAGACCAGTCGTGTGACCTGCATAAACATAGTGACAAGTTTTCATTGCAAGGCATCTGCCAGGCCAGGGAATGTGCTGTCTTGCTATCAGTGTGCTTTTCTTTCTCTCTCTCTCTCTCTCTTTTTTTAACCACTGTGGGACTCAGAAGGAGCTTAGTGAATATTTACAGAGTGAAAGATGCTTCTACTTCTCTGCCTGCTGAAATCATTGGCTTGAAAAACATAAATAAAGTAAGAAATATGCTCCCATTTCAGAAAACCTTAGTGTATATTTCCTAATCAATTGTCAGATTATGTAAATATTGCCCCAGCTGAGTCATAGGATGTTTTTAAAGAAATCTCATTGTATAATTTTTAATTATGTGACATGATTTCAAGCAATGGTTCCTAGAAATTCCTTTATAAATTTAATAAGAACCATATGCAATTAACATATTATTTGAATGCAAACAGATCAATACTAAAGTAATTTTAGAGGTTAGAAGACAGTTATTTAATCTGGATTTTTTGATATTTAAGAAATATCCTTCCAGTGTAATTTACTCTATTAATTTAATCAGCAAATTTTTAGTACCAAGGTACATCTCAGAGCTATACAAATGTACATTTAAATTAGCCATGCTTAAGCAAAATAAAAAAACTTACATAAAAATAAAAACTTACATAATTAAAAACTACATAAAAACTTAGTACTGGCAAGGCAAGCACAGATTTGGCAAGGGCAATTTAGTATCAAACAGTTATCAAACAAGTTAGTACTAGGCACCAAGAAAATGGATATATGGACAATATCATACATGCTCCAATTCTGTTAAATTTATGGTTATATAAATTCTTTTTGTATACCTAAGGAGATAGTAAAAAAAAAAAGATCAGTTTTTCTTATTTCTCAGTGTTAGTGGGGTTGCATTGCCCAGTTAACTCAAATAGGGAACCATAATTTTTTTCCCCTGGAGAAATATACCTATGGGAAGAGGTGCAGGAAATGGGTTTCAGGGTCACTAGACCAGAAGTGATTCAGCTGAGAAAGGAGGTACAATTACTTTGAAATTGCCAAAATTTTTTTTAAAACCTCTGAAAAGTCTCTACTATCCATATAGTGACAATCTGTTCCACTGTCTCCAGCACCTGCTACAGTACTACTGCCCAAAGGAAGAACACTAATCAAATACATCATCTATATTTTATGTATATTAATTTTTAAAATCCTCACAAAAGTCTAATGAGGTAGGTACTATTCTTAGTCTCGTTTTATAGATGAAGAGACTGAGGGGCATAGAGATGATATAGTGTATCCAAAGTCACCCAGGTAATTAGTCATGGTGACATGATTTGAACCCAGGGTGACTATCTAAAGATGATGCTCTCACTTGTGCTGTACACCTTTAAAACTTTAGGCTGAATTATTTTCCATTCCTAGAACTTGAGCTAGGAATTCATTCATTAATTCAACAAGGATATACTGAGTACCTGCTGGGTAGAAAGTACTTTTTTAGGTCCTGGGGTTATGCCAGTTAACAAGCAGACAAAAATTCTACACTCATGGAGGCTACACTTAAATGAGGAGAGATGGGCAATCAATCAATCAATTGATCAATCAGTAAGTATACAGGCAAATTATGTCATATGTTAGAGGTGCTCATGAAGAAAACTGGAACAAGAAAGGGAACAGGGACATGGAGGGAAAGACAACTGTGAGAAGGTGATACTTTGGACAAAGGTTTTAGGCTAGTACATAGATATCTGTGAGAAGAGCACCTGTTCCCACCCCCCCACACCCCCTACTTCCCCTGATCCCCCTCACAGGGAGAATAGTGAGTGCAAAGTCCCTGAGGAAGGCTTATGCAGGTGTAATGGAGGAACAGCAGGGAGGCCAAAGAGGCAGTAATTGAGTAACTAAAAGACACAGCGGGAGGAAAGGAGGTGGCAGAGAGACCTGGAGAGTTTGACTCTGAGATGGAAAGCCATCAGAAATTTGGGGTAGTGAAGTTACATGATCTGACAAACCTAAGAAAGGGGTCACGGATTTGCACAGGAATCAAGAAGAAACAGGAGAAAAAATGCAGGAGTGGGTATCCAAATGTGTATACACAGAAACAAACTGTGTCCAAGCACTGAGTCAGCAGAACCTGAGGTGTGAGTTATAGAAGGCAGAGAAAATCAGAAAAAAACCTTGAAGGAGATGAAATCTGGAACTCTCTTCGGTCTTCCCTATCTTCACCTCTTCTGCTTTTTAACTGGGGACTCTGCAGCAGTTTCAAACACTGGCTTTCTGACCAGGAAAGATATTTTGTCCAGAAAGTCTTTTTTTTATGACACATGTTTAAATTCCACATAGGGCATAAAGGAAACATACGCTGTCTTATCTAATCCTCACAACAATTCTGAAAGGTAAGCATTATATGGCTGCTGATAGAAACTGACTCCAACTTCAACCCAACATGGAAACCATATTACAGAATTTTATGCTTAAATTTAATGAACAAGTTTTGTGGAGTACGTGAAAATGTCTTCTGATTAAAATAACTATGAAAAATTCATGGGAAGATAGTTTTTCTTAAACTCCAAAACTTTCCAAACTGTGTCCTTTTCATTTTATTTATTTATTTTTACTTTTATTTTACTGATCAAAAGACTATGAACAAGGACAAATAATAGACTAATTCTTGACCATGACTTGGAAGTGATAAAGCACAGGAAAGAATGGGCTTTGTTCGCCCAAATAAAGTCTAAAATGGATCAACTAAGTGGATTGTGCTACACCGTGCTCTCTGTTATCCTTTTCTCTTGGATAAGTATTTCTCTGTTTATATTATTCAGAGATCTGGCAACAGTAGGCTCTGGGATATATTCCTTTTATACTGTTACTTTAATTTCTTTTTTTAGGGTATTTATTTCTCTTCAGAGTATGCATAATGGTTTTTTTTTGGAAATTGATGCTAGAGAAAGCCAAAACAGAAGTTAGTTTTAGCCAGAAAAGGAGTACCTCTTTAATTTGCTCCTTTAAGTGCATTTAGAACTTTAAAAGCAACAAAACTCTTATTTTTGAACCTTTTAAGGAGGGATCGCCGGAGCCCAGCAGGTCAAGGCTGCAGTGGCCAGGAGCGGCCACTGCACTCCAGTCTGGGCGACAGAGTGAGACTCCAACTCAAAACAAACAAACAAGCAAACAAACAAAAAGAAATATCTTTAAATACTCATTTATCAAACTTATATGAGTACAAGAATACTGTTAACTCGTTTAAGCAAGAAGACAAAGCAGAGATAAATTAGTGGTGAGATTTGGAGAAATGTGCAATGGCAATAAGGTTGATAGATAATGGAGTTTAAGAATCCAACAGAAAACGGTAAGGTTAGAAGTGAAAAAGTAGGATGAAGGGTTAAAAAAAAAAAAAAAGGAAGATGATTAATGTAAATGAACTGAAAAGTTAAGGTAGGGCCAAAGACTGAAAGAAGGACCAGAAGTGAAGGAGTTGTTTAGGTTTAGAGGGGACAAAGTTAAACAGAACGTAAAAGTGCTATATAAGGAAAACTCAAAGAAGGCACTAAGAATAGACCTATTACAAAGCATAATTAAGAGAAATTAGAAAAGAGTCCTTAGTTCACATTCAGCAAATGTAATAGATCCTCTTCTATCCTAATCCTATCTTCCTCCATCATTTTCTTCACACTCCAACTTGTCCTCAGCATCCACCCAGATCTGAGAATTGATTACACTGCTGCATTGGTAATTTAAATCATTTCCCATTTAGGAAAATAAAAAGAAGAAAGTGCAGCTCTCTGCTGTGTTCATTTAATTTTACATAAACATGCTCTTGGAAGCTGAAGCAAATCTGACTGGTTTTCAATGTGAAAATAAAATATAAAAACTGTTCCTGGAGTTATTTCTAAACAGAACTTGTCTCTACTCCTATTGTAACAGAAAGGTATATGATAATCAATATTTACTAATTTTTTTGTGCGTTAACATTATGTGTAAGAATGCCATGTTTTCAAGGATTTGACATTTTCAGTGATCAAGAATTACTAAAAAAAGGGGGAATTATTCTATTTTGTAAATGGAAATACCAACACTTAAAACGGAATGCTGTAAATAGAATTATGTCATTTGTTTCCAAAACCTATTGATATATTAGAGCGATGCAAAAATAATAACAAAAGTGAAGTATTTCATGGCAAACGTTTGGGGTAGGGTTGGAGCTCTTATCAACGAGTTATGTCAAGGTAAACACTGAAGTCGCAAGCCTACCAGCAAGTATTCTCAGGGCAAATGGGAAAAGGGTTAAATTAGAGATGAGTTTTGAGATGATGCATGGGATCCCATAATGTGGAATGCCTTGATTTTAAAGAAGACTCTTCACAAGTAGTTTTCTAGTTAAATATAAATTGTCACAAGGGCAAATAAACTGTAATTAAATCATGGCAGTATAATACAAAAGGTTATCCCACCGAGGTAGAGAAGCTGTCAAACCCTGTACTTTTAATTTATGACAGTGTCATAAGCAACCGTACTGTGAAACTGAAGAACCTTTAACTTTGCAGCCATTTGCGTGCCCAGGCGCTTCCAAGACTTTGGAAGAGGATGAACTCTAGACATGTGTACACATACCATATCTTTACCTTTGCAAAAGTAAGTCATTTTTGTAATCTTTTCTCAAAGATGGCCCCTAAATTGCATAAGCTTTGGATTCTAAAATCAGCATTTACCACTAAGCTTGTATATGCAAACTGGCTATCTGTCATGTTCCAAATCACATTTTTCCTGTGTGCCATTATGTTTTAGTGTGCATAATTAAATCCTTTGTAAGTGCACTTGAAAACATCAAATTATCCAATTTTCTAGTTTATAGAATGGGGGGGAGGAAAAGCCCACAATAACTGCTACATTTCAACCATTTTAATCAAAATAATCATGGTTTTAGGTTTAATATTATGGTATTTAAGTTGCTCATATTTCAAATACTCAGTAGTTTATTTGACAGATGAAACAGTAAGCTGTGTATACAACAATTCTCAGATATGATTTATAAATCTTCACTTTTTTTCTCTTTAAAAAATTTCTTTCATCCAGTAAGAACTGCTTCTTTAAGTAGTTAACATTTTAGAAACTGGTGAAAATATTATCTTTAGTTCAAAAACCTGAAGTGTGATTAATTAATATAAATTATGCCCTCCATTAGTCGCTCGAATTATAAATATTGTCTTTTCCCTCATGTGGAAGTTTTCAACAGAAAATAACTTGAGGAAGACTTTATAATCAAAAGTTGCATTTATCCCAAACAGTTTTTAAAAGTTTATAAGTGAATTGTTTTAAATCAGTTACTTAGAGTACCTGCTTTTAAATTTGGTCCCTATCATGCTAAGTTGTATGTTAGATCAATTGGTCTTAATAGTGTGTCTTCATAAGAGACTCTAAAAATTGATCATTTTACACAAAGCTGTATTTAGAAATCCGAGGAGTTTATAAACCTGCTGATTTTTTAAAATTTTATTTTAATGCATTCACACGGTTTTCGAAACCATTCCTCACAAAATGTTTGTTATCTCTCCTGTCTTTTCTGAGGGTATTAATCCAAATGTGGTTTTTTTTTTTTTTTTAAGGAAAATCAATTTCATCATAAAATAGAAAGTGTAACTAGCACCACCATTTTTCCTAAGATAATAAGTCTTATTACTTAAATCTATACCTTGTAGTTTTATTTTCTTTAATTCATTGACTATAATAATTCTATCACTTTAGAAAAGCAATGGAATTACGTTTCATTCATAATTCCTTAGTAAATCAAATGCTTTTACATTGGGTCTAATTCTTCTTGATGTCACATTGCTAAGCAACTAGAAGGAAATTTAAGAACTGGGTTTTTTTTTTTAAAAAATATTCATTAACAATTCAAAAAAAGAACTGCATTCAGTGTGACCAACAGCAGAGGTAACAATAGCCGGCGTCTTTTTTCCCGTTTTAAAAATAGACCATGAATGATAAATTGAATCAAGAACACACTAGTCTGAGGGACTGAAACTAAAAGGACCCTCTGTTTTCTTAATGTATGTAGGAATTTGAATTTGGTTCTCATTTCAACCCAGTAACACTTTAACAAACGTTCCAAAGCAACATGGCTTTGAAGATGGTTTACTTTTTCACCACACACACACACACACACACACACACACACACACACACACACACACAATTTTTCCCCTAAAGACTGAAATAAAAGTCTAGCCAAATGTAACAACAACTTACCTTTAACAGAAGCTGAATATGAGGAAATAAAACAGAGAAAAAGCACAGCAAGAAGAATCATACTGATTCTTCTGCATCCAGTGCCCATCTGGGAGACACAGAGAAGTTGACTCTTTCAATGGCAGCCAGTGAGGGAGTGACCCTCCTCAGAACCTGCAACAATAATGTTTATCTTTGGGGAAAGGTCAGAATCCAAACTCCAAAATCAGAACCTAAGTTCACCAAAGGGTTCATTATTAATGATTAAACATAGGTGGGCTGCCGTTTTCAGTATCTCACCCTTTTAGTTTTTTTAAAACCAATAAGGAAAATAAAACAGTGTTCACTTTTAAGAGCTAAACCAAATTAATCTCTCTTCCTATAAAATGGAAAAGTGTAGAGACCCAGTCCAAGAACAAAAAGTGGTGGTGATACTTTTCTGCTCAATAATAATCATCATTAAGTTTACAACATTAACTGCCTATCTTCACATTTCAACATTTTATATGACAGTTGCTAAGGATTCTCCAAGTCAGCTAAGTCTAACTGAAGGTCTTATATGTTCATCTTTGAATTACACTATTTGCATGCTATTATTTTTAAAAGTCACTCTGGGGCAACTCCTTCAAGTCCCCTCTCACTGTGGGAGCTTTTCTGTTTTCTCAATAAATTCTACTTTCTCAAATAATAATAATAATAAATAGAAAGTCACTCTGAATTTTAAGACTCTTACAACTAAGTTGTACCATCACCAATGGCTTCAAAATACATAGTGTTAAAGTAGATAGAACTTTCATTCACGAAATATAGATGATTCTCCTTATGTGTGAAATTTTATGGGGTTGAACAAATCAGCTTTGTCTATCATTAACATATTAATAGGCCAATTGAGTATCTCATAGTAGACTTCTATGACAAGAAATACTTGTCTGAGTCCCCAAACTGGCTGATTGGAATCCTATGCTTTCTGAATTCCATTTCTAGGAAGAGATTCAGAAGGTGGATTCCAGCTCTGAGTACGTTTGCTACTGAATATTAATCAAGAAACTTCTCTAAGCCGGGCTCGGTGGCTCAACCTGTAATCCCGCGCCTTTGGGAGGCTGAGTTGTGAGTGGATTGCCTGAGCCCATGGGGTTGAGACCCGCCTGGGCAGCGAGACCTCATCTCTACAATAAATCAAAAAATCAGCCGGGCGTAGTAGCGCATGCCTGTAATTCCGGCTACTTGGAAGGCTGAGGCGGAAGGATCGCTGGAGCCCAGCAGTTCGAGGCTGCGGTGGCCGGGAGCGGCCACTGCACTCCAGTCTGGACGACAGAGTGAGACTCCAACTCAAAAAAAAAGAAAACAGAAAAAAGAAACTTCTCTAAATTAAAGCAATACTCCAGTATGGCTAAGGCCACGCTAACTGAACCAACCCTTGTTTCTGAAAACTCCCTCAAAGGAGGTCTGTTATGAACAGAAATTTACAAAATGAGGTGGCTTAGGAGGCACGTGGGGATGTTTTGACAAAGAAAGGGAAAAAGTGCTCATGAGAGGCTATTTGAATGTTCTTGAAAATACTTATGGTCCTGTGTCAGTATAAAATGAGTTCTTAAATCTACCTGGGCACTCTCAAAACTCTTCTCAAACCCTAGCCTTGAGCTTAAATCTTCTAGACAATCTAGGTAAAAGATGGTTGATTTGATAAGTCCATAAAATGAAATATAAAATTTAAAAATCAAGCTGGGCGCAATGGCTCACGCCTGTAATTCCAGCACTTTGGGAAGTCGAGGCCAAAGGATTGCTTCAGCCAGGAGTTCAAGACCAGCCTAGATAGCATGGTGAGACCTTGTCTCTACAAAAAAATCAACAAATTAGCTGGGTGTGGTGCGGTGTGCCTGTAGTCCCAACTACTCAGGAGGCTGAAGCAGAAGGATCGCCTAAGCCCAGGAGGTGGAGGCTGCTGTGAGCCATGATCATGCCACTGCATGCCAGCCTAGACAACCAAGTGAGATCCCCCAATTCAAAAAAAGAAAAAATTCAAAATCTCCAAGTTAAAGCACATTTCCTCTTAATTATATCTTTACATAAAGAACTAGACAAAGATTCTGCAGTCACAGAGAGATTACCTGCAAAGGAAGTTCCCTACTACTGGCTGTGTAGACCCAGGAGACTTAGAACCCCAGAAGTTGTGACCTGGAGACCTACACTCGCTCTCTGACACCAGCGCTGCCTCCACTCCGCTCAGCCAAGTACAGGGGACCGCCGCACACCACGCAGATAGCCCACACCACGCAGACAGCCCACAGTTACCCACGGGAAGACACCCAGGAGGTAGCTGGTCACCCAAACCGCTGTCAATGCCCTCTATCGGAGGGATCAAGAAGCTTTCCTGCTTCTGGACCGGGCACCGTGGTACTGGGCGAAAGTAGAAACTTACAGAAGTCCTCTTCTGCAAACTGCCCTTTAGGGCCTGATGTGGAAATTGCTCAGGCTGTCAGGGCTATGCAGGAGGCCAGTGAGACCTACCTGTTGGGCCTCTTTGAAGACACCAATGTGTTTGCCATCCATGCCAGGTGTGTCACCATTATGCCCAGAGACATGCAGCTGGCCTGCTGCAGGAATGGAGAGAGCTCCTTAAGAGTTCACCCTACTGGGAAAGGCTTCATTCTAAAGAAATGTTTGTCTCTCTTCCCTGTTATTGGTAGTTCTGAACATTACAAGTTGTTTAGTTGTGGTGTTTTTCCATGAGCTCCAAAGGTACCTAAGCATATGATTGGGAGAAAAGTTAGAGGACAGAAATCGGGCAGTCACTGCTTTTCTGTTTTCCTTTGCGTGCCAACTTTTAAATAAATTGGGGGAAGTAAAGCATCAGTGCCAAGTCCAGATGTCTCAGTGAACACGTTTCAGCAGTTCAACTTTATAAAAATTATAAATATAAATCTGTTCAATTTTTCTAGACAATGCTTGCATTTGGACTTTGTAAAACCAAATACACTTCTTATAGATGGCAAAAAAAAAAAAACCTGAAAAATGAAAATCATTTGTTTTCTTATCTTTTACTGAGATTAAAACTTCATTTGTTATCATAAATTTTGTTTACACACTTATTACTTATATGGCGAAAGTATTTAACAAAAATAAATTTTTGTTGGGAATATCACATTAAAGTTATAAATACTAAAAATAAATACAAAAATAAATTTTTGTTGGGAATATCACATTAAAGTTATAAATACTAAAAATTTGGGGGGTTAAGTAAAAAAGGCCATTCTCAGAAAAGTTGCTTTTGTTGAAAAAAGGGTAAGTTTTTATGAATAGTAGAGATTATGAATACAAGCTATGTGAAAGTGCTTTTTTTTTTGCTTTCCATTTGAATAGATTTCTATGGGTTCCCCAAATTTCTGTATTATATAATAGGGATATAAAACTATGATAATCACTTATATTTCACTTACACATTTATTTAAGGTCTAGTTTGCATCTTCTTCAATTCTATGATAACTGTCTTTTTACATTTTCATCTGAGGCTCCTGGTTACATGGATCTTAAATGTTTGTGGTTAGACTATGTGGTAAATAATACATGTCCCTTCGGGTAAAGTACTATTCGTTGTCAGGTAGTTACCAGAGTTCAACCAATAAAAGACTTATCACTATTACCTAATAAACTAAACTGTTTCATTTGAGCATTTGATTTTCACTAGAAAGTTCCTATGAATCACTGTATTAAGTTGTCATTTCAACATAGGATGTTCAAATAAGGCTGCTTCTGTTGGTTTTAAATAACATCATCCTTTTATACTTTGCTTATAACTTTTTCTTTTTACAAAGACATTTGAGAAAAGATATCTTGAGTTTGTTTCACAAGAGATGAAATAAGAATACCAAATCCTTTCATATTCAGTAAATTCTGTATACCAAAGATGCAATATTTTCCTCTGATACTCTGTTGAACAAACAAAATGAACTGCACAATATATGTGGGCAATAACTGCTAAAACACACGAGTTATTTCACATTACATGTGAAGCAGGGTGGAAGGACAGCACAGTATAAAAATAGCAACCACCATTCATAGAACCACCATTCATAGAACAATTACTATGCACAATATACTATGTTAAGCCCTTTGCACTTTTTATAGTATTACTATTTCCTCACAACAATCATCTTACATATTAGAAAAATGAAGCTCACATTAATTTAGTGAAGCAATTCAAGGAATCTAGAAAAATAAATCTTGAAGCCAAGTATTCTTCTTTGCTTACAAACTTTAGAGGTAGGAAGTGAGAAAAATAATTTATTTCTAATAGATGACATGAAATTGTTAATTGGGACCATCTTCTAATAAGTCCATCACAATTTTGAATAGAAGGCAGTAGAGTACTTGATTTTTGTGAGTTAGACATTTCAGGCTGAATACACAGGGGAAAAATAGATCTGTGCTAGTCAGGTCAAAATGAAATAATACATTTTAAAACAATGCTATTGTAATGAAATTTCTTTAGTGATATATGTCACTGTGAAATATCTGCTATACTATTATTTTGCATTAGTAAATAAGGAGACTATGAAATAAAAATGGATGACAAATTCCAAAGTACACTTTGTGTTTCTGTTGAGTATCAGAGGTTGTTAGGAGTTAACTTATTTTCCTAGATTGGAAGATAAATGAACTTTACTCTACTAAATGTTGGAAGGAAATGTATTACCCTACAAGATAGAGACATAGTAAGTCAGGATGTATGACAGCTATGTGAAAAAAAAAAGGCTGTTTATAACATCAGAACACTTTGTTCTTAGAAAGAAGCATGACGTTGACAGGAAAAAAAATTTAGAAGTACATTTCAAGTTATCCTTAAATGGTCGTAATTGTTTAGCTGTATTTTCAACTCAGTGAGGGCATTTGCATTTTGAATGAATTTTGAAAAAAAATGTGTTGGTTGAAAATATTCTGGCCAGGCTCAGTCTATAATCCCAGCATTTTGGGAGGCCAAAGCGAGTGGATTGCCTGAGCCCGTGGGTTTGAGACCCACCCAGGTAACTTGGTGAGACCTCGTCTCTATAATAAATCAAAAAATTAGCTGGGCGTGGTAGCGCGCACCTGTAGTTCTGGCTACTTGGAAGGCTGAGGCGGAAAGATCGCTGGAGCCCAGCAGGTCGAGGCTGCAGTGGCCGGGAGCGTGCCACTGC